TATCCAATAACAATGGACAAAAGGGTCCTATCTTGTCAGCCTTGTCAGTTTCAGTTCTCCAGTAAACTTGTGATTATCAACACTAACCTCATCGTTGTGGCGGCGGACAGCTAGCCTGTATCCCTCATCCAGTTGAGTGGGAATGTTCACTCTCCCCAAAGCAGACAATCTCAAACAGCTATCCATGTGGGTCTTTGACAGCTCATGTTTCTTAATCTTTCCTGAAAGATGGTGCATGTCCGTTACACACCAGTCGCTGTCCAAGCGGTGCTGTCTGCCGTGCCGCCTTCAGGGTGAAAGAGTAAGCAGGGGGTAGCAGAAGACTGCATTAGCTACATCGCAGCCTGCTAGCCAGGTTTTTCGTTCGTACCAATTTTTTGAAAATCCTCGGGTGTAGGACTTCCCCCCTTTAGTAGAAACCTGTTGAATTATTAAATTTGGTCTGGGAGGTCCTAATTGTTTCGTTGCCAATTTATCTTCATTTGTTCGCCGACAAAAAGGAACTTCTTTCAAAGACACAATCGAGTTGCACTGAAGCCTAGCCATTTTCACAGTAGTAGTGAATTGATTGATGAGGCTACCCGCTCTTTTCTTAGTTACGTTCATGGTTATGTTACGTATGACGAAAGCGCGTAAGTGCAAGCCCTCAGAAACCCATAGAGATTGTATTGAAAGCTCTGATATTTGAAAAAAATAGATTTTACATGGGAGTCTATGACAGACTTCTGGGCGATTTTCAACCTGACTGAAATCGCCCCAAAAGGGGGGGGGGCCATTTGAAGCACGACTTTAGCCTGATTGGACATTTAGTGGCACTGTGGCAGATCAGACGTCTAGATTACAACACTGATAACTACTGTTGCCGTGATATAATTGATTAGAAAAAAAATCCCTTCCTTTTCCCGTTTGGCAGTGCGTCGCCCATATCGCCCTATTGAACACACCGCCCCTGCTGTGGATATAGATAATTTTGTACCTGTTTCCTCCACCATCTTCACAAGGTCCTTTGCTGTTGTTCTGGGATTGATTTGCACTTTTCGCACCAAAGTACGTTAATCTCTAGGAGACAGAACGCGTCTCCTTCCTGAGCGGTATGACGGCTGCGTGGTCCCATGGTGTTTATACTTGCGTACTATTGTTTGTACAGATGAACGTGGTACCTTCAGGCGTTTGGAAATTGCTCCCAATGATGAACCAGTCTTGTAGAGGTCTTCAAAAAAAAATCTGAAGTCTTGGCTGATTTCTTTTGATTTTCCCATGATGTCAAGCAAAGAGGCACTGAGTTTGAAGGTAAGCCTTGAAATACATCCACAGGTACATCTCCAATTGACTCTAATGCTGTCAATTAGCCTATCAGAAGCTTCTAAATCCATGACATCATTTTCTGGAATTGTCCAAGCTGTTTAAAGGCACAGTCAACTTAGTGTTTGTAAACTTCTGACCCACTGGAATTGTGATACAGTGAATTATAAGTGAAATAATCTGTCTGTAAACAATTGTTGGAAAAAATACTTGTGTCATGCACAAAGTAGATGTCCTAACCGACTTGCCAAAACTAGAGTTTGTTAACAAGAAATGTGTGAAGTGGTTGGAAAATAAGTGTATGTAAACTTCCAACTTCAACTGTATATATATATATATATATATATATATATATATATATATATATATATACAGTACCATATACATAAGGAACAACAACAAAACAGGGGATTGAAAGCCAGTTGTGGTGTTTAATTGATATGCTACTGTTATAAATCTGCACAACCTCAATCCCCTGTGTCTGAGCCTGACGGAGCACTTCAGGGAGCACTTCACTATTGCCCTTTCATTACTGAACTTACTGTCTTTGATGGATCTTTTCTAGAATTGAGACATTGCATTTTGAAGGAATCAAAGCACAGTGATGTCTTTCACTTTTAACAAAAAGTTGCATGTAAGTGACATAAAAAAGTATAAGGTGAATGCTATGTGGCACTTGTAATAGAGACACAGAGACACCTTCTGGAGAGTTTCTGCAGTTACAGCGTTAATCAATAGGGCCCAGTCACTGCAGAGAATAAGCCCAAATGACATGAATCATGATCAATAAAATGAATACAACAACAAATTGATTTTGTGGACAACTCTGCCTAACTCTAGCATCAATTGTAGTATTTCATAGTGAGGGGAATATGGTAATTAAGTACCAGTAGTTGTTATTCAACTATTGTTGAAATAACTAATAGCCTAAAAATGTGCCATGGGCTTCATGTAATTTCATTTCACCACATGGTTGAATGGAAGTCATATCATTGATGTAGAAATTGGCTCAATGCCTGAACACAGCTCACAGTGTTATGAAGATCTGCATGGGAATACGTCTCCACTTCACACAGCTAATTATTAAAAGTGCAGAGATGGGGGTGAAGAGAGAGAGAGAACGAAAGGAGAAAGAAAGAGAGACCGAGAAAGAGAGAGAACACACACACAAGGCCGTCTGGGAAATAAGTCCAGTCATTTCCGATTTCCATGTGAGCCAGGGTTTAACAAGCTGTGCATAAAGCCAAGCATGTGTGTGTGTGTGTGTGTTTCTGTGTGTGTGGGCGGTTCTCCTCTTAATCTTACCGGTGAATGCCTGAGCAGGAAGCCCAGGGGGGTAGAGGAACTTGTTCATTGAGATCGCGATCCTCCAGAGGCGTCTGCCACAACTTCAAAACACAACTTCAAAACCTAAATTTACTTGATATACTGATATTTTATTAGCTAAAGCAGGGCACACTTTAATGATGTCTTTAATGAGGGTACACTTTAATGAGGTCTGTGCATTATGTTTTTGTATTGGGCTGCAGTACATGGTTTGGATGCATTCCAGAGCGTAGTTTATTCAGACAACATGAACATCTGTAGTTTCTGGGAGGATTTCACCTGACTTCACCACTCTGTCAAATGTTGTTTCTCATGGCAGAGGTAGAATAAAAGTGAGGAAATAAAATTTGAAAACATCACTTGTGGTCACAATAACATTAATCTATATTACCACACTTATACAACCCTTGTTTACCCACACGTATTTGCATTTTCCCACAATTTTCTGACAACTCATACTCTTGATAATTCCTGATCAATGCTGGTACTATAGTTACATGATCACCAAAGGTTTTTGCTTCTGAAGATTCCACCAGACCTGAGACTATAGGAATAGAATAAAACGTAATATTTAAGGCTGAATATTAGAGGGAGTGAGGGAAACACAGACTGACACAATGCGTTCTCCTGGTGACCCCTTCAGTGGGGATCATGTAACTATAGTACCAGCATTGATCAGGAATTATCAAGAGTATGAGTTGTCAGAAAATTGTGGGAAAATGCAAATACGTGTGGGTAAACAAGGGTTGTATAAGTGTGGTAATATAGAATAATGTTATTGTGACCACAAGTGATGTTTTCAATTTTTATTTCCTCACTTTTATTCTACCTCTGCCATGAGTCATCTAGAATGCTAATGTATCTCCAACTCATTATAAATTGAGTAATCTAGAATGCTAATGTATCTCCAACTCATTAGAAATTGAAGACATTGTTCCTCATATATTTTTCTAGCTCAAAAACACTGCATTATAGATCATAATAGTATTGCTCATCTTTATTTTATTCATGGTTGTGATGTACTTTGGTTCCATCCTGCAGGATTATCTAACCCATTGTTGACAGATTCTGAGATACTGTTATTATTAACCAGACAAAATAAGTTAATGTGTAGGTGCATGATTTTAACTGGTAGCTCCTTTGTTATGTTTAAATATTAACATTGTCAGACACATTTTTTATTAGTCATTTAGCAGACACTCTTATCCAGAGCAACTTACATTTAGTGAGTGCATACATTTTCATACTGGCCCCCCGTGGGAATCGAACCCACAACCCTGGCATTGCAAGCGCCATGCTCTACCAACTGAGCTACATGGGACTACATTGATCTGTTCATCACACATGCTTCATTATTAGAGCTATGTGATACAGTAGAGTTATAGGATCAAAAGCGGCAGAGTAAATTTAGTAAAATTAAATAATTGATAATTGATTTCATCAATCCAAAATCATGTATATTCTCTTACAATCAGCAGGATGCCTTTCTATTTGAATCAACTTTGACACTAACAATCAATAATTAAAAAATAAATCTTCCCACACAAAGTGCAGCAGAATTGTAAGAACTTTCTTTATAGGTTGCCCTCACTGGCGAAATGCATAAACATTCGAAAAACAAAAACAAACACACAAATCAACCTTGGTTCCATTTAAGACGATCAGTTTCCAGTGCACTAAAAAAATACTCCTTTTGTCAGTCTTGCTAGATATTTTTGACCAGAAATGAAACGACAGATTGCACCTTTAAGATACACTTTAGGGTATACACACACAGTAGCCTACATGTTTGGGTCTTAAAGCAGTTGAATCTGAATAAGATATTATTAATTTCTGTTTCATAACCAAATAGGAAACATAAAAAAAAATCCATGAGGAACACGTTACCATCTTTACTTTATAAAGACTGGTTGAAGTGGTTTTAATTGTTTAGTACTTGCACTGGGATTCAGCAATATAGGCCCGTGGACTGATTTTTCTCATTATGGTAACAGGACATGTAGTGGTTCCTGTCAGCGGCGTACTGCAAAGGTAAATCCTTGGGTTGTTTTCTTCATGGCCATCTTGTGTACAAAGACGTCAGTCCATAGGGACATATATTACTGAGACCCAGTGCAAGTACACAAAAACAAAAACTAAATAAAAAGTCAAGTGGTACATTCACTGACATTCATACAAAATAAGACCGTAAACCATTGCAGTGTACTCATGCTGAAAATAATTGTGTTGATGCTGAGAAAATGACAAACATGTTGGTTTGGCAAGCATCCTGTCAGCAGTCTGTGGATCGGATAATATCAAATGAAATCAAATTTTATTTGTCACATACACGTGTTTAGCAGATGTTATTGCGGGTGTAGCGAAATGCTTGTGCATGAAAACTCCATGTGTAAAGAGATAGTTGCCCACTTAACCTGATCCCAGATCTGTTTGTGGCATCTTGTCAACTCCTATAATCATTGACTAATTGTCATACTAAACAGCACAAACAAATCTAGGATCAGCTTTCATCTGCCTCCAGGTTGATGTTGTTCCCAAACTTGGCGTAGAGCTGGACCTTCAGATCACCCAACACCTGCTGTATCGTCGACACCTTCCTTTCTAGGTCTTTGATCTCCTGCTGCAGTAGTTCCTGTAGCCACAAACAATGCACGTTAATAGAACTATTTATACTAAGGTCTGACATAGTAATAAATCAGAATGGTTCAAATGATTAAGGTTGCATTCTTAATAATAGGGTCAACCATAATACCTTGACATCTCTGCCTTTGGCTTCATTATGCAACGTTAAAATTAGTTAAACAACCCATCCATGTTTGCCTTAGGAACAGGCATCCCGGTTTCTGAGGTAGGCCCACACCCCTAACTTCTACACGACTCATATCATAATACCAATACCTTTGCAGCTTCCAACATCTCTTGGGTCTCTTCCTGGGTGTGACTGATGAAGACGTCTCCAATCTGATACGGGACGAGCAGAGTGTCATCCTCAGCCATCATCAGGTCATCACTGGCATCCTGCAGATTCTGTAGAGATTTCTGAGAAGAGAAGAATGCAGATTGCCGGTATGGCTGGGCGATATGGCCTAAAACTCATGCCTAAATTGTTTTCTAACTTATGGCCGATTCACAACATATATCTCGATTTATTTTAAAATAAGCTTTGTTGTACAATTAATGGTCAAATACACTGAATTTAAAACATTCAGCAATAATCTAATGAATTCAGAGCTTGTGGAATTATACCTAGGCTGAATATATGCCTTCCACAACCATAACACCCACTAATAAATTTATTATTTTATAAAAATAGTTGTACCTGCTTTTCTTTTGTTGCAATAATCACTGATCTGTCTTTCAGGTCTGTCTATAAAAATGCCCTTTTTGTGACAAATTTAACCAGAATCATGCATAATGCACATTCACTAATAATGTAGCAGCCACTATAGACATTAACACCGGTCTCATAAACAATATCTCAAGCACAAGCCCACGTGCTAGTGAGTAGCCAGCCTATATTTATATTTCAAGTTTAGCCAACTTGGATCTAGGTATAATTTCACAAGCTCTGAATTCAGCTAACACGGCAAACCAGTTGAATTGTTATGAACACAACCTTCTGTCCGTCTCAACTGTTTGAACAGCATGTTAGCCTGTCTACTTTGTTCAGATGTTGAAATAAAGTGGCCTACCTTATTTCTCAGAATGAGAACGAGTTGCCAATTCCTTATATAAATTGTTTTATGCTAGTATAGCCATCTTTATCTGACTAGAATGCTGTAACGATATACGTGGTACCATAATGCACGCGCGAAAAACTGAGCATTAATTTTCCAGAATGAATGTTCATTGGTACATCGGGTTTAGTAGTGTATGTTCTGCTCGAAATTTGAGGAGTTATAACATAAACAGGGTATGGTTCGAAAGGTTAACTTCTCCTCTATTACAGTAAAATAATGTCTCCATGTGTTTCGGTGTTCATATGACCGATTATGTTGGACCAAACCTTAGTCCCGTGTAGAGCATGGCGTTTGCAACGCCAGGGTTGTGGGTTCGATTCCCACGGGGGGCCAGTATGAAAATGTATGCACTCACTAACTGTAAGTCGCTCTGGATAAGATCGTCTTCTAAATGACTAAAATGTAAACGCAAATAGCGAATTGAAACCGTTTGTCAGAGAGGAAGGTAGCTTAGTGGTTAAGAGCGTTGTGCAAGTAACCGAAAGGTCGCTGGTTCTAATCCCCGAGCTGACTAGGTGAAAAATCTGTCAGTATGCCCTTGAGCAAGGCACTTAACCCTAATTGCTCCTGTAAGTCGCTCTGGATAAGAGCGTCTGCTAAATGACTAAAATCTCAAATCTAAGAAGTGATCTCATCTTTGTTGTTGTGAGTGAGTGGTAGGGGGAAGGGCTTGGGAGGAGAAGCGAGAGGTTTCACTCTCACCAAAATCTGTCCAAAATAAACCCTATGCGCTTATTTAGAACGTAAGCTTGTCGCCTGCCTTCCCACCTTTGGGACAACGACTACCATTGTTAGGGCGGAGACATGAGCATCTCGTCATTATATACAGATCTCTGGTGTTTTATTTTTTTGTTGTACCTTTATTTAACCAGGTAAGCCAGTTGAGAACAAGTTCTCATTTACAACTGCGACCTGGCCAAGATAAAGCAAAGCAGTGCGATAAAAACAACAACAACACAGTTACATATGGAATAAACAAAATGTACAGTCAATAACACAGTAGAAAATATATATATACAGTTTGTGAAAATGTAGTAAGTTATGGAGGTAAGGCAATAAATAGGCCATAGTGCAAAATTATTACAATTTAGTATTAACACTGGAGTGATAGATGTGCAGAAGATGATGTGCAAATAGAGATACTGGGGTGCAAATGAGGAAAATAAATAACAATGTAAATAACTATATGGGGATGAGGTAGTTGGGTGGACTAATTACAGATGGGCTGTGTACAGGTGCAGTGATCGGTAAGCTGCTCTGACAACTGATGCTTAAAGTTAGTGAGGGAGATAAGTGTCTCCAGCTTCAGAGATTTTTGCAGTTCGTTCCAGTCATTTGCAGCAGAGAACTGGAAGAAATGTGAAGGTGCACAGCACAGAAGAAGAGAACGAGACCAAAAAGACAACATGACAAGCGGACATAAACGCTCATAAAAACGAAAAAATACAATAAACCTTGATTCTGCAATACAGGCATTTGGAATATCGCGCAAAAACATACATTCAAATTAATCACATTTATTTGATATATCACCCAGCCCTAATTGATGGTTATAGTTAGACTACTGTATATAATATACCGGTAGTGACTATATGATGTACCGTTACTAGAATAAGAAACAAGTCTAAAGAAAATCGAATTATTGAGATTTTCATGATCATTACACTATACTGACCACTCTTACCTTTTTTGCTTCTATTTCATCTTTAAACTCTGTCATTCGATTTGTGTTTCTGGCAAATGTATTAATCTTCTTCTGGTCTTCAAATGTGACATTGACATCTTCAACTGCCTGTGAATGAGAAGAAAATACAGATTGTAGACAATGAGCCTAGCTATATTGATATCTATAGCCAAAGAACAGAACACAATTAAGCTAGTTAGATACCAAATAGGGACAAGAAAGTGAACAACTAGCAGGATACCTAGAAGGTCTCCGCCCATTTCTGGGAGGGGATGTAGCTAGCAAGCTAGGCAACATTTATTTCACTGGATGTATAAATGTGAAGCATCCGGTTGGCGTTTCCACTCACTACCAAATATGTTAGTGAGAGGAAGCCCACTGAAGGGCAGTGGGAGAAGATGAAATTAGATGGATTTTGTTCTGACATTCTGCACATTTTCTCATCGATTAAATATTTCATCTCAAAACAGTTTTTTGTTGCCAAAACTAGAATATGTTATGAACAGAGTGGACTAAGTTCTGTAGACTTTACCCTCTGCAAAAGTTTTTGCAAATCGCGCTGTTTCGTAGTGCAAAGGCGAATTGAGTTATTGCACAAGCGCACTTCACAGAGTAGGCATTCCCTAACGGACATTTGCAGATGCATACTAGAACACGCCAATAGGATATCGCTAGCGCGTGCTTGGCTCTGCCCACCTCCTTGCTTGTTCTGCCCACTATGACTCATTTGTTCCCACTTGAAACGACAAGCTGTAGTCTACCTTGGTTTAGTTATAACAATCTTTGATATATCTGCATAGGATAACATAAGCTAGCTGAGCGTTTTCTCAAAATGGTACTATCATTAAACTAACAACCATAGCTAAACGTTTCCTAAGAAATCTCGGATAGATAGGTATTTTGTAGATAACCATCTTAGCTAGTTAGTTAGTAAAGTAACTAACCTAACGTAAGCTGGCTAAGGGCGCGGTAACATTACTACTGCTGCTAGCAGTTTGCTCACTAGCTATGATCCCAACGCACAAGGAGAGCGCGAATATCAATATAGTTAGACAATGAATTGATTTATTTACAATCTAAATTGTCTTAGATAATTACTGAACGAATGATAGTGATGGTATAGAGATATGGGTGATTCATTCAAACTGGTTTTCGCTTACAACTGTCTTCTTCCCGGTGGCAGCCATCTTTCTTTTGCTTCTTCTTTACATACGATTCGATTAGTGGTGATGGGCATACCAAACACTCATAACCGCCACCTAGTGGATCTTGCATGAAATGAGTAATTACATATTTTTTGCAGGCCAAATTGATAATCTAATTTCATGGCCTCATTTTACAATTTGAAACCACAAAATGTATTGATAACTGTATTGTCCTGCACATGATTCCTGAAGGCCAATTTAACTATATCCAGAGCTTCCAAGGGAGTTACAAAGACTTACGGCCCTAAAGCTCTAATATGGAATGATTCGCTTATAACAAAGATTTACAAAAAGTGGGCCTAAACATTTCTACATTTCCGCTCATATGCCTACCAGAGTCACTGCATTCCAAAAGTACAATAACTCTACACGTGATTGGAGTAACCGGAACTTCTGCTCTTTAAATAATCAGAACAAACAGAACTGCTCCCAAGTTCAAATATTGGCAGAATGCATGAGTTGTCGAAAGGCAGGTATGGGCAACTTACTCAGATTTATTATAACAAAGATGAACAAGGCAAATATCATTTAGAAAGCTAATTTAAAATACACATATGGTAGGGTTTGTTTAGAGAACAAATAGCACAAGATCAATGTTCTATACTATGAACATCCCATTGATGATAAATGCATAGTTAAAGTGATGCTCCAGAGCTTTTGTCTAATTTCAGCCAGTAGTTTTGAAAGTAGTGCTCACGAGCCAAAACCGGTCCCCAAAAGTGTTGCACAATTCTGTACTTCGTCATCCATTTCGTATTACATGTTACATCCTTTTGCTTTGCAATTTGTATGATATGTTACGAATTCCAATTCATACAATATGTTACGAATGTGTAAGTGCTTGGGATCTCGGACTGCATCTTTAAGGATTCCTTCTTCCATTTGAAATATCTTGGTTAGCTCTTACATAACGTTTTTGAACAGGGGTTGCATGAGGTCTCCTGTGTGCTGTCCCAAGCATGCCTTGCGGGATGTCAAAAATAATCATGTTCACAGTGCGACAACAGAGGAATCCAGTATGCAAAGTGCACAAAATAAGAAAGCATAAAGGACTAATACAGCATACCCTACATGGGGTAATATGATTTTTTCAGACCATAATTATTGTGTTAATTCACAAAGTTCATTCTTGTGGGAGTGATTTGGCATGTCTCCAAGGAATTAAATGCAGGAAAGTCTGTCTATTGTTCATGCGACTCACTCACAGCTGAAAGAAAGTTGCTCACAGGCTATTATTTCCTTAAAATTGTACCATCAGCGTCTGTAGCGTCTGAGGACAATATTAGTTATTTTTGTTTTGTTTTGGGATCCTTCTCCTGCTTAATTCACAGTCCTGGACTGGTTACCGTAGTCATTATTTAGTCATTTTGAACTATAGCCTACAGCCAGCCATTTCTAGGCACTTTGGCATCGATAATGAGTATAAGCTGATCATTTGTATTTGTTCAACTTCATTGGGCCACTAAAACACAAACTAAATTGATACTGATATTAGTTTTGTGTTATATTTTTAGTATTTCACTCAGTCTGGATCAATTGCTATTCCCTGGAGAAGCATCTTTGTTTTGATTGCCTGTTATCAACTTTCAGTTTGCTCTATGAAAGCCAAACAATTGCCTTATGGTGGCAGGTCCATGGACGATGATCCACATTGATTAGATTATAGAACCCTTTGTCTTGATTAACTCTTAGATGAAAGGTCCCTTTATTGGGGACTTTGAGCGGTTCCGGACCGGTTCTGACTGACATTTTGGTTTACAAAGCACTCTGTGAACGTCATAGGGTCCTGTGCCTTACAGTGCCAGAAAGCCCCATTGGTCTGCTCTCTGCTACCACTCTCTCATAGAGATGACTTGAAGTGTCCGGGTTCAGACCCCACATTTGCATAGAGAGTGACATGTCACATTTTCTGGCCAATCCAGACAAAAAAATTGATTTGCTTTTCCTCTGAGTGACTGTCACGACTTCCGCCGAGGCTGCCCCCCCTCCTGGTTTGGGCAGGCTTCGGCGTTCGTCGTCACTGGAGTACTAGCTACTATCGATTCCATTCTCATCACTCCACTTGTCATGTCTTATCAATCCCCTAATTAGTATGTGTATAAGTGTTCCCTCTGTTCCCCATGTCTTTAAACTCTGGACTTCGGTATTTACCTCCTGCGCCTGACTCCTTCTTTTACACCTCGTCACAGAATCACTCACCTGATCTGATATGGAGTCAGCAGGAGAAGACCGCATGCCTGGAGTTGTGGCAAGGGTCCAGGAGCATTCCTCGATGTTGGCCAACTTGGGAGAAGCAATGGATCGGGTTCTTCAGGTGGTAGAACACCTGGAGAGGAGAGGATCCGATCTATCGAGACCAGCTGGTCAACCGGATCCAGCCACCTACACCCTAGCCCCTGGAGGGATCCAGATATCCCGGCCACCGGCGTTTGATGGGACGGCAGTGCGATGTAAGGGATTCCTACTCCAACTGGAGTTGTATTTCTCCAGCATCAAGCCGGAGCCCCGGGAGCGGGAGAAGGTATCCGTCCTCGTTTCCTGCCTTTGTGGGAGAGCGCTGGAGTGTGCCAACGCGGTGTGGAACGAGGGAGGTACCGCGTTGGAGAACTACGGGGAGTTTTCTCACCTCTTTCGGGCCGTTTTTGATCACCCGCCTGAGGGTCGAGAGGCGGGCGTACGACCAGTTCATCTGAGGCAGGGGACGAGGACCGCTCAGGACTATGCGCTGGAGTTCCGGACACTGGCAGCGGGACCGGGTGGAACGAGCGGGCCCTGATCGACCATTTCCGGTGCCACCTAAGGGAGGACGTCTGACGGGAGCTAGCCTGCCGGGATGCCATGCTATCGTTCTCCCAACTGGTGGACATGGCCATCCGGCTGGACAATCTGCTAGGAGCCAGAGGACGTCCTGGTAGGGGTCTGCCCGTTCCCACTCCGGATGACTCTGACCCCGAGCAGATTAAGCTGGGGGGAGCCGCCGGTCGAGAGGGCGCAGGAGGACAGCGACAGTGCCACTCTGGTAGCACGAAAGGACAATCCACCTCACATTGCAGTCAATGTTCTTTTGGGTCTGGAGGTGGTAGGCAGGGTACTCACGCATCACCCCAGGTAACGAACACCCAAACGTGTTCAGAGCCCTTTGCGGCGCACTGTACTTTATCTATCTCCTTTCCCGACCACTTGGTAGGTTCCCAGTGTAAGGCGCTAGTCGATTCAGGCGCAGCTGGGAATTTTATGGACAGGGCATTTGCACACCGTCAAGGCATTTCATTGGTTCCCCTAACCATTCCACTCCCCATCAGAGCACTTGATAGTCGACCATTAGGGTCCGGGTTGGTTAAGGAAGTTACGTACCAGTCACCATGATTACGCAGGAGACACATGTTGAGCAGATCACCTTTATGATTATTGAGTCTCCTGCTTACCCTGTAGTCTTGGGTATCCCGTGGTTAGCCCTTCACAACCCCAATCTCTCATGGCCGCAGAGGGTTCTTACGGGGTGGTCGCGTGAGTGTCCGGGTAGGTGTCTAGGTGTTTCCGTTGGTGCGACCACGGTGGAAAGTCCAGACAGTACCCCCACCGTGCGCATTCCCCCCGAATACCATGATCTGGCGCTCACGTTTTCCAAGACGCAAGCGACTAAATTACCACCTCATCGGGAGGGGGATTGCGCGATAAACCTTTGGGTAGACGCTGTACCTCCCAGGAGTCATGTGTATCCCCTGTTGCAGGCTGAAACGGAGGCTATGGAAATATGTGTCACCGAGTCCCTGCGCCAGGGGTATATACGTCCCTCCACTTCACCTGCCTCCTCGAGTTTCTTCCTTGTGAAGAAGAAAGATGGCGGTTTACACCCGTGCATTGATTATCGACCACTGAATAATGTGACGGTACGATTTAGTTATCCTCTTCCCCTCATTCCTTCAGTGATTGAGTCAATGCATGGGGCCCGTTTCTTTCACCAAATTAGACCTCAGGAGTGCCTACAACCTGGTGTGTATTCAGGAAGGGGATGAGTGGAAAACAGCATTCAGCACAACCTCGGGGCATTATGAATACCTGGTGATGCCCTACGGTTTGATGAATGCTCCATCCGTTTTCCAGTCCTTTGTAAACAAGGTGTTTCGGGACATGCTTGGTCGCGGTGTGGTGGTCTACATCGATGACATCCTGGTGTATTCCGCTACATGCGCCGAGCATGTGTCCTTGGTTCGCAAAGTACTGGTCCAACTGCTGGAAAATGATCTTTATGCCAAGGCAGAGAAGTGTGAGTTTTCCAGCAGTCAATCTCCTTCCTCAGATATCGCATTACAACCACAGGTGTGGAGATAGAGGGAGACCGCATTGCAGCCGTGCGTAATTGGCCGACTCCAACCACGGTAAAGGAGGTGCAGCGCTTCCTTGGCTTTGCCAACTACTATCGAAGGTTTATTCTGGGCTTTGGCAATGTCGCAGCTCCCATTACCTCCTTGTTGAAGGGTGGGCCGTCCCGGCTCCGCTGGTCTGCTGAGGCTGATTTGGCCTTCAGTAGATTACGGAGTCTGTTCCCCTCATCCCCGGTACTGGCTCACCCCGATCCATCACTACCGTTTGTAGTGGAGGTGGATGCATCCGAGGTAGGGATAGGAGCTGTCTTATCCCAACGCTCGGGCACGCCACCCAAGCTCCGCCCCTGTGCCTTCTTTTCTAAGAAGCTCAGCTCGGCGGAGCAGAACTACGGTGTTAGTGATCGGGAGCTGCTGGCTGTTGTCCGAGCTTTGACGGTTTGGAGACATTGGCTCGAAGGGGCGAAACACCCTTTCCTCGTCTGGACAGACCACCGTAACCTGGAGTACATTCGGGAAGTGAGGAGGCTGAATCCTCGCCAGGCCAGGTGGGCCCTCTTCTTCACCCGGTTTGATTTCACACTCTCATACATTCTGGGTACGAAGAACGTGAAGGCAGACGCACTGTCTCGGCTGTATGACACAGAGGAGAGGCCCAGAGACAACACCCCCATACCCCCGGCCTCATGCATTGTGGCACCGGTAGTATGGGTGATGGACGCAGATATAGCGCAGGCATTACGCACAGATCCATTTCCACCGCAGTGTCCAGCTGGGCTGCAGTACGTGCTTGCGCTTATCCGTGATCGTCTGATCTACTGGGCACACACGTCACCCTCCTCTGGTCATCCAGGTATCGGTCGTACAATGCGCTGCCTGACCGAGAAGTACTGGTGGCCTACCTTGGCTAAGGACGTGAGGGTGTATGTTTCCTCATGCTCAATGTGCGCCCAGGGTAAAGCACCTAGGCACCTCCCAGCGGGTAAGCTACAACCTTTACCAGTTCCACAACGACCATGGTCTCACCTGAGTATTGATTTTCTCACTGATCTTCCCCCCTCCCAAGGTAACACCACTATCCTGGTCGTTGTGGACCGCTTTTCAAAGTCCTGCCGCCTCCTTCCTCTGCCGGTTTCCCCACTGGCCCTACAAACTGTGGAGGCTCTGTTTACTCATGTCTTCCGGCACTACGGGGTACCAGAGGATATAGTGTCCGACCGAGGTCCCCAGTTCACATCTAGAGTCTGGAAGGCGTTCATGGAACGTCTGGGGGTCTCGGTCAGCCTGACCTCTGGTTTTCACCCCGAGAGCAATGGGCAGGTGGAAAGGGTGAATCAAGATGTGGGTAGGTTCCTGCGGACCTACTGTCAGGACCGGCCGGGGGAGTGGTCGGTGTTCCTGCCATGGGTAGAATATGCTCAGAACTCTTTCCGCAACTCCTCCACTAACCTTACACCCTTCCAATGTGTTTTGGGTTACCAATCGGTCCTGGCACCGTGGCACCAGAGCCAGACCATGGCTCCCGCGGTGGATGACTGGTTTCGGCGTGCGGAGGAGACTTGGGACGCTGCCCACGTTCGTCTCCAGCGCGCCGTGCATCGTCAGAAGGCCAACGCTGACCGCCACCGCAGGGAGGCCCTGGTGTTCGTACCGGGGGATCGGGTCTGGCTCTCGACCCGGAATCTGCCCCTCCGCCTGCCCTGCCGGAGGCTGAGCCCGCGGTTTGTGGGGCCGTTTAAAGTCCTGAGGAGAATAAATGAGGTGACATACAGGTTGTTACTCCCCCTGATTACCGTATTAACCCCTCGTTTCATGTGTCTCTCCTCAGGCCGGTGGTAGCTGGTCCGCTCCAGGAGTCTGAGGTACGGGAGGTTCCTCCACCTCCTCAGAACATTGAGGGAGCCCCGGCGTACTCGGTCCGTACCATCCTGGATTCGAGGCGTCGGGTGGGGGCCTTCAGTATCTCGTGGAGTGGGAGGGGTACGGTCCGGAGGAACGGTGCTGGGTCCCAAGGAGGGACATCCTCGATCCCTCCCTGTTGAGGGATTTCCACCGTCGCCATCCGACTCACCCTGCTCCGCGTCCTCCTGTCCTCCTCAATGCCACGCGTCGTGGGGGGGGGGGGGGGGGGTTACTGTCACGACTTCCACCGAGGCTGCCCCCCATCCTGGTTTGGGCAGGCTTCGGCGTTTGTCGTCACTGGAGTACTAGCTACTGCCGATTCCATTCTCATCACTCCACTTGTCATGTCTTGTCAATCACACACACCTGGTGCTCATTCCCCTAATTAGTATGTGTATAAGTGTTCCCTCTGTTCCCCTTGTCTTTGTGAGTGATTGTTTGTTGTGAGAGCGTGTAGCTCGGTTTAGCTACATTTCACTGTGTTATTACCAAGGTGGATGTTTTCCCTTGTATAGTTTCGTTTGACGCTTGGGGCGTTTGATTTATGCAAACAGATTAAACTCTGGACTTCGGTATTTTACCTACTGCGCCTGACTCCTCCTTTCACACCTCGTCACAGTGACAGAGTCTGGGAGAAAGGGGAGAGTCTATCGAATCCAACAGTTGTGGTTTCATCTCGCTGTGATATTCAGCTGGATTTAGATCTCTCAACATGAAAATATACTAAATAACATCATAGAATTGAAACAAGACCACTTTCTCCTGGTCACAGACAGACGAAATCACTTTGTGCTTAAAGCTGATGTTATAGCAAGTCTGCACAATTTTGAATAGTGTCTCTGCGCTGCTCAGTGGACATTTAGGAGAAAATTCTCTGTTGTCAGTTATATGAAATAGCGCCAATATTGTACTGTTACTAAGTAGGATCATATTTATTTTAAAGTTATAAGAAAGGTGGAATCTTATAGTAAGTTGTTTCTAATTAGATTGTTACTATATTTAGAAAGCATTTAAGTCATTTCAGGCCCTATTGCTTGACTTTTGTTGTAATAGGAAAAAAATCGTATATGATTTTTCATAATATTTGTTCTATGTACTTCACCTTGTGTCCTCAAAGGTCAGTACACCGCAGCAATTTATAACTTTTTAAAACCAGAAATGTGAGTTCCAGACCTTTCTTAAACTATGCATCATTACCAGTTATTGTTTATGGCCAGCTCATGAAAAATAAATACGTTTGGGTATGTCTATTTAGGCGGAAATCTAAATAATATTATGTGATGTCATTGATATAAATGAATCCAGCTTTCAGGCCAAATAAAAAACAACTCTACATGATCATAGATTTATTTGATGATATGCTGTCAATTACATTTTAGTTTATTTTAAACTTGTGTTAACTTTTGTTAATGATCATATTGGGATTTGAGTATTTTTTCTGTCATATGAAGTAATTTAATCCAGTAGTATAAATAAAACACTGTAAAATAAAGCTGTATTTAAGCTGTATAACAACTTAATATCAAAGTAAGTAGTCAGCATCATGTGTCAGGTATTTGGACTAATGTCCCACTAAGCAAATAAGCAATGCTTCCAATGGTTCCACATAACCTACATTCACATCCTGTTTCTATCCCAACCACACCTTAGGCATCATGAGTTTACCACTCTCTGCAGTTTCTCATGGGCTCTTTGAGATATACAGTAGTGTCATCAAAATCTGCCTGATAAAGCAACGCTTGTCATCATGTTCTTATTTGAACATTTTCAGAGAGAATTCAAGAGATTAGCATGAGTAGATCAGAGATGCCCTGACAGTTGACAGAGTGTTTTTGCTGTGGTTGTGTGTTTGGCATTCAAATAGATCCCTTTTTGATGAGTAAGAGATAGCCCCACCCCTTTATGAACAGGGCTAAACTCCTATGTGTATATACTTAGTTCAGCAGGTTGCAAAGCAGCAAGTCGATCTCCAATTTGCTCCCACCAATAGCTGGAATACTACAGACAGATTGTAGTAAACACACTACTTTCACAGCAGGGGTGTGTTATTGCTGCTTTTACTCGCATAGGAGTTGACACAAGGTAAGACATAGCCTCAAATACTTTTAGCTTTGAAATGGCATTGGTTTACTATAGTCCATTCCTTCTCTATAGCTCATTTTTAAGTTGTATCTATTAGCTTTGCTTCAAATGTTATTCATTTATGTAAGATGAGTATCCTAGTTTATTGATATGTATAATCATCACATTTTAATTCATCTCACTTTGTTGTTGTATTTGGAGGCTATAGTATTTTGATGCAAGAATAAAGTATCTCATTACACCTGTCTAAAATAAATAATGGATTTATTGTGAAGGTGTATTTTATATAACATGGATTTATTAGACTTGTAGATGTTCCAAAGGTCTGCATCAGTGGCTTGTAGGCTATGTGTAGAAGCCAGGATATGCTAAATGTGTTTATGTTAATTAACGGTCAATTACCGTGAGACCGGCAGTTATTTGCTTGACAATCACCGGCTGACAAAATGTTGTGACCGCCACAGCCCTAATGGCAGCATTAACGTTACGAACACATGTTGCACACACGCACACGCACACACATACACATAAACACACACACACACACACACACACACACACACACACACACACACACACACACACACACACACACACACACACACACACACACACACACACACACACACACTGACAAACAGTGTCTTCTGCAGGTTTCAACTGTGATCAAGATGGGCAATGAACATTCCGAAAACAAGGTATGTTTGATAATAGCCTACTTTTACAGCATGCATGCTTTACTTTGAATGTTGGAATATAGGGGAAAGAAGTATAGTTGTGGCATTTTACACCCAATGGAAGTGTTTGCTGTCTAATAATAGTAGTTTCAAGTTACAAGCAGTAATATATTAGAGATATTACGTGTGCACATACATCTAATACTAATTGATGGTCCGTACAAAATGGAGTAACGATGAAAGTGATGTGATGAAAACAATGATGACAAGAGAAGCTTATGTCAACAATCTTTCTTCTCATAGGCCGAGCAGGCTCCAGAAAAGCATCTGAATGGAGGCTTGAATGGCCATGCTGTAAGCATCTCTTCCAATGGCCTGGAGAATGGTGTGTCTATGAGTGATTTAATAGCCATTTATCCTGTTGTCACCTGATTGTTACCCCATGATCAATAACAACTGGATGCAACACCTCTGTCTGTGATGTCTATCATGTTAACCTAGTTATATATGTACTACTCCAATGGGATTATATGACACTGACAGTATCCCTTGTAATCAATCTTGAATTGCTGGATTAGTCTGGGTCAATTTACAAGTCTCTCATAATTCTCTGTAAATACAGCAATCTGTCAATGCTACTGGGTGGTGTTCAATGTTAACTATAGGCGTAGCCTTCAACATAGAGGATGAACAGATGTTTGATCAGTCCTTGTGTATATTGTCTCACTGGATCAACAGTTATGTACAATGATTTGCAGGCCAAGTCCATATGTATTTTCTTTAAGGGCGATAATATTGATATTGGTAATCTATTCGCTAGCAAGTGAGCAACTAAAGCCACTGTTTCCAGACTGTGTTTGTTTCACACAACTAGCCTGTATGTCCCCAGTAGCATGTTAGTTTTACATACAGCGCAAGGAAAGGTTTTGCTTGCATTTAGCTTAGGGTAATGAGCCTAGCACTGCATTGATTAGTCATAGAGGTAGTATCATTAGGAAACTCCTTTGGTAAAGTTGCATACCATTTCCTATACCCTCCCATGTTCTACTGAATGACATGTTGGGAACTAAGATTAATAATAATTATCCTCTTAGATGTAAGTTCCCCTGTTTTGGGGATCTGCGTGGTTCTGGTACCGGTTCCGACCGACATTTCCGCTTACAAATCGACCTGTGGACACGTAGATCGAAATGGCTTTCATTGAGCGATAGCCCTGGTTCCCACCCACACAGTAGGATTTTTTCGGAGCCTGTGTGACGTAGGACGTGAAATCTGAAACCACTTGAAGCTGGGATGTCCCTCCTACCATTTCATTCGCTCTTCCGACTGTCCATCAACTCCAGGCTGAACCCTACATCAAAGCACATAAATGTCTGCAATCGTTAAATCTTAGCGCAGCAGGAGAGAGTGATTTCTTCACGGTATCACAATCAGAGATCCATTTATAGCCATTATTCTAAAATAAAAAACATTTTCTATTTGTCATAGACGGACAATATTAATATGAGATGGAAGGCGAGTTCCTAACGAGTTCAGGAAGCCAATCTAGAGCTCTGTGAGACATTCACAGTGATGGGGCAGACGTTTTGATCAAGAGAGACCTATAGAAAATATGCACATTTTCTCTAACACTAAACATACAAATGTGTATTTTACAGTTAGTTTAAGGAATGTGAAATCTTATAGTTAGTCGTTTTATAATTTGATGATGCCATACTTAGAAAGCATATAAGTCATTTCAAGCGTTATTCATACAGTTTTGTTGAATAGGAAATACATCATATAAAATATACATTGTACCGTGTACTTGAGCAATTTATAAAACATTTTTTACCAGAAAGGTGAGATTTTTACCTTTCTTTGAGTATGCAGCATTACTAGTTATTGTTTATGGCCCTCATGATAAATAATTACTTTAGGGGATTACGTAGATTACATTTTCGATTATGTTTAGTTACATTGAACTGGCTAATTTCCATTACCGGACATCAAAATGATCATAGCCAGGTATTACATGATGCCCGTGTACAAATGATGAATCATATCATATAACTTTATTTGTCACACAAACTAATTTACTTATATCTTGCAGTTACCAGTGAAGCAGCTGTGGAGCAGAACAGTAAGCCTCCCTCAGTGCCTCCCTCTGAAGAGTCAGGTATAGTGGAGGCAGATGGCAGTGGTCTTGGGCCTGTGGTGATGGAACAGGAGTATGCCATCAAGAAGGTTCCAGAAGTGGAACCAGAGTCTCAGAATGCTAAGACTCAAACCACACCGGAACTTGAACCAGTCCCCCAAGAGAAGGAGGAGCCCAAGAACAGTACGAAAGAAAAAGTGAACATCTTTGAGAACCTGTTCAAGAAGAAAGCTAAACCTCAACCCAACCCTGATCCAGCCCTGGAAAAGGAGGAGCCCATAAAGAAGAAGATTGTGGAGGAGATTAAGAGTTCCCCAGAAGACCAGAAAGTCCCTGTGGCTGTGACCAATGGGATCCAGGCTGTAAGTATCTAATCAGTGATCCCTTCAAGTTGGGTTGGCATTAGTTCCATTTCAATTTCACTCGGTGTACTGATAATTAATTAATGATCATCAACTCCTAACTTGAGATTTTTACATATCGAAATCTAAGTGATTTTGGTTATTCCAATGTAGTTAACTAAGGATATTGCCACTGTAATGTGAGGTGTACTGGGAATTGGTAACATTGATTTACAGTAATATTGCATCTGTTGCGAGAATATCCACAGGTCATTCTTCACTTTCCCAGTGTATAACAAAGCTTATTACAGATCTACCAAACATCCCTGTTGATTCTTGTTATAAAGGAGACAAACGAAGGTGTCATTTCCTTGCCATCATCCATTGAACTGGATTGGGAAATATTGATGGCTGCACGTTTGTTTCCAATGCAACTGGCAGTCAGATTCCCATTTCGGGAGGCAGAATCTGAACTTCCATTACTGCCTGATTTGCTTGCGGCAGACGCCATTGAAATCGCCACTGAAACCACTGAAGAGCAGCCAGAAACCACTGAAGCGCAACCTACGGACAAGAGTGTCAGCCCACCTGAAGAAGAGCCTACGGAGGATAGTGTCAGCCCACCTGAAAAGGAGACAACAGAACTGGTCATTGGTGAAGAAGTCACAGAGGATAAAACTGTAGAGGACAGCACTGCACCTGAAGAAGAGCTGGAAGACATTGCAAGTGTCCATGAAGATGTAGCTGCTGTAGAGTCAGCAATGGCTGAAGAACTTGAATCTAGCCCCATAAGTACTGTAGAGCCTACAGTGAAGAGTGTCAGCCAACCTGAGCAAGAGCCTGAGAGTGTAAGCCCACCTGAAATGGCTGAAGAACTAGAAGAGATGAAAGAACTTCTTGAAGATGTAGCTTCTATAGAGTCAGTGGAACCTCAATCCAGCCCACCCAAAGGAGAAAGGTGCCACTCTCCTTACTTGGTGTTGGAGAATGATGGAAGTGAATCTAGTCATGCATGGACAGTTGTTGAGGAAGATCCAATTTCCAATCAAGAGGTCCCTGGTGAAACAGAGCCGGTACCTGAGGATGAAGACACCATTTCACAACCAGAGGACATTTGTGATTCTGAAGAAGACAGGAACGAGGATGAAGACGAAGGAGATGCACTTTCTGGAGATGCTACAGCATCGTTGAGGTTGCTCGGTCAGCTGCAATCGGCATGTATGAAAATCATTGAAGAATCAACATATAGGCCTATCAGTGTCAATGCTGGGGTGTCTACGGAGGGCTGCACTATTTACATTACACTTGAAGTCAGTCTGAGGCAGAGAGGCCAGTCGAAATGAGACTGGGGCTAAAATATTTGGAGTAATTTTCAGCCTGAGGAGCAGGATCCTCCTCCTAAAACCTCAGAGAAGACCCACTGGGCACAGACGTCAGTTCAACGTCTAGTTTTGATTTACATTTGGTTGAGTTGTCAACTAACATGAATTCAACGTGAAATCAACAAAAAATGTCACCATGTCATTGGATTTAGGTTAAAAGTTCTGTGAAAAAATATGAAATGCCCTTATGTTGATGACTATTTGCAAATCTAATCAGTTTCCATGTTGATTCACATAGATTATTTTGGTTGAAATGACATGGAAACAACATTGATTCAACCAGTTGTTGCCCAGTGGGTAGATTGTCCTGTGAATAAATTATTTAAACAATGTGAAAAACAATGAAATTGAACTTAGACTATTTGAAGTATTAGTTATTTTTATTAATTTATTTATAGCTAACTTGACATGGTTATATGGTATGGTTTATTATTTTATTTTACCTGTAATCTTTACAATTAAAAGTTTCAAAAGTTTGATTTAAAAGATGGTGTGTCAATGTGTGTCAATGTTTTACTTGTATCTGCCCCTATGTAAATAAACAATTCAAATTCTATTCAATTATTTACATTTAATCTTTTACTAATGTGTACAGATGTAGGATCTGATTTGATCACTCTTTTGTTGATGAGAATTACCCCACACAACAGAAAATGGTCATTTGTAGATTATTCAATGTTTAAAAAGGCTTCTAAAGTTAGCAATTTCCACTTTAACATTTCAGACTTAATTTCACCTAATTTAAAATGTATCAACCCCTACAAAAAATGTCCATGAATTATAATCTATATAATAATTCACATTTCCTGTTGCTGAAGGATTATTTTCCTGCTGTAGCAAACTGGCTCAAATTAAGATCCTACATCTGTAGATCAGTCTGTGGAGTTTATGTAGAGGGGATGGGATGTGTAAACATATTAGATAGAGTCAAATCGTGTTCCGGTTCAACATATAGTGTTGTTCAATGACTGGAGCCAAGCCTAGAAGATGAATGAGCATTGTTTAATTTAAACTAAGTCATATTACTGTAAGGAATATTCAATTAAATTGAAATATCATCAGATAAGTATGGGGGATTTTCTTACAATATCAACATACCACAAAACAAAACAAGATATTTGAGTTTGCTGACATTTCTCAGAGCAAAGAGACAGAAGTCTCCAACATTGCTGAATATCAATGAGTGTGGGTGGAAACAGGCATTAATAAAAGGATGATTGTTGATGATGCCTCGAGTAGGCAGAGGCATGGTTGGAATTGTGCTTCAATCTCAGTGCTGCGTCTAACAAACTCATTGCTTGTGTATCAGCTTCACTGCTCAAACACTCTCTTTTTTGAGGGCTCATTCTTTGCGGTTGTCTATAGGAGCCATTTGCTGAGGTACAGGAGGATACAGAGACTTCAGAGGAGCGTCCCAACCCTAGTCCACAGGCAGAGGAGGTCAAAAGCCACAAAATTGGCGAGGAAAGCAGTCACATTCAGGAAAACCAAGAGGGAGAGACTCAAACAGAAGAGAATCCAGTTATGAACTTCTTCAAAACACTAGTAAGTAGAATTTTCATTGGATTTGATTTGTATTGTTTAAAGAGTTGAAGAGTTATTTTAACAGTAAGGTCCGTAAGTGAGTAGATATACACAAAATATTTGATCTATTTGCCTCATGTTTGTTTTAAAATACGTTTAAAAATGACACTACTTCATAAATCTGTAAACTTTGACAAAATATTTCAAGCCTTTGTAAAAGTCCAACTGTGAAACCACTACAAACACTATTGAAGAACCACAATTTATTTGGTATGGAAAAGAAAGATTGCCATAATGCTGTCATAATTCCAAATAATGCCTCTGAATAGCAAAACATTTAGCCTAATGCTTGATTATGGTATGGTAATCCTAATATTCTGTTGTGAAGTAGGGACCACAGAAAATTACATGAGGAAACAGTGGTCCATCAGTGATGTCATTGTATTTAAGACTGTATAGTGCTGTCAGTGATCATTGTGTGTGAAAATATGTGTAGAGGCAGCATGAGGGCGTCTCTAAGACAGAGTGACCACGTCTTGAAGGAATGATTACACAGGCAGCTATTGTCATTTCTCTTCATCATGCCTTCTTTTGGAATCATGCCTCCATAAAGAGTTAACATAGCTCCAGCTCCAGCCCCATGCCAATCAAATCCTTTGAACATGCGGGAATGTGGTGGTCTTTTGTTCAGCCTATAGTGTGCGCTCACAAGGGAGGCCTGTGCCATTGGAAGTTGAGATGCGTGAAGATAGAGCGAGGGAAGGCCTACGCCATCCCCTGAGCACAATGGCCGTCACAGTGAGAGAGCATGTACTGTATGTGCTTTGCCAGGGACCTCTTTGTGTGCCATCAGTTAGACAACCGTAGATGTCAATGGCTACAGTGCCTTCTGAAAGTATTCATACCCCTTGACTTATTCCACATTTTGTTGTTACAGCCTGAATTCAAAATGGATTAAATATATGTTTTTATTTCTTCTCACCCATCTACACACAATAGCCCATAATGACAAAGTGAAAACATGTTTTTTAAGACTTATTTACATAAGTATTCACACCCTTGAGTCAATACATGTTAGAATCACCTTTGGCAGTGATTACAGCTGTGAGTCTTTCTGGGTAAGTCTCTAAGAGCTTTGCACACTTGGATTGTACAATATTTGCCCATTATTCTTTGCAAAATTCTTCAAGCTCTGTCAAATTGGTTGTTGATCATTGCTAGACAACCATTTTCAAATCTTGCCATAGATGTTCAAGCAGATTTAAGTCAAAACTGTAACTTGGCCACGCAGGAACATTCACTTTCTTCTTGGTAAGCACCTCCAGTGTGGATTTGGCCTTGTGTTTTAGGTTATTGTCCTGCTGAAAGGTGAAAGCAGACTGAACCAGGTGTCTGGTGGAAAGCAGACTGAACCAGGTTTTCCTCTAGGATTTTGTATGTGCTTAGCTACATTCCATTTATTTTTTATCCTGAAAAACTCCCCTCCCCAGTCCTTAACGATTACAAGCATACCCATAAGATGATGCAGCCACCACTATGCTTGAAAATATGGAGCGTGGTGCTCAGCAATGTTTTGTATTGGATTTGCCCCAAACATAACACTTTGCCACATTTTTTGCAGTTTTACTTTAGTGCCTTGTTGCAAAAAGGATGCATGTTTTGGAATATTTTTCTTCTGTACAGGCTTCCTTCTTTTCACTCTGTCAATTAGGTTAGTATTGTGGAGTAACTACAATGTTGTTGATCCATCCTCAGTTTTTTCCTATCACAGCCATTAAACTCTAACTGTTTTAAAGTCACCATTGGTGAAATCCCTGAGAAGTTTCCTTCCTATCCGGTAACTGAGTTAGGAAGGACGCCTGTATCTTTGTAGTGACTGGGTGTATTGATACACCATCCAAAGTGTCATTAATAACTTCACCATCCTCAAAGGGATATTTAATGTCTGCTTTTTTTTACCCATCTACCAATAGGTGCCCTTCTTTGCGAGGCATTGGAAAACCTCCCTGGTCTTTGTGGTTGAATCTGTGTTTGAAATTCACTGCTCGACTGAGGGACCTTACAGATAATTGTATGTGTAGATAGATGAGGTAGTCATTCAAAAATCATGTTAAACACTATTACTGCACAAAAAGTGAGTCCATGGAACTTATTATGTGACATGTTAAGCACATTTTTACTCCTTAAATTATTTAGGCTTACCATAACAAAGGGGTTGAATACTCATTGACTCAAGACATTTCAGGTTTTCATTTTTAATTTGTAAAGATTTGTAAAAACATAATTCCACATTGACATTATGGGGTATTGTGTGTAGGCCAGTGACAAAGAAATCTCAATGTAATCCATTTTAAATTCAGGCTCTAACACAACAAAATGTGGAACATGTCCAGGGGTGTGAATACTTTCTGACGGTACTGTATATGACTAACTGAAAGACATCTGTCCTATGAAAATAGTAATTTCACTGTTCCCTGTGAATGTAACTCTCTTAAAATACTTTGATATTGCTGCTATCTACTGTAGGTATTACATTTCATTTGAAATAGTTTTATTAAACATCACGATACACTTAAATGCTAGATATTTTTTTATAGGAAACAAAAAGTAGCTAACAATTTTGCCTGCCATCCAAGAATGCACACAGACACTCAATAAACACTGAGTATACAAAACATTAAGAACTTTCCATGACACAGACTGACCAGGTGATTCCAGGTGAAAGCTATGATCCCTTATTGATGTCACTTGTTAAATCCACTTCAATCAGTGTAGATGAAGGGAAGGAGACAGGTTAAAGAAGGATTTTTAAACCTTGAGACAATTGATACATGGATTGTGCATGTGTGCCATACAGAGGGTCAATGGGCAAGACAAAATATTTAAGTGCCTTTGAATGGGGTATTAGAAAGATGTTCATAATGTTTGGTATACTCAGTGTATGTATGTGTGTTAACTAGGTGACTCCCACAAAAAAGAAGCAAGAAACAGCCACCCCTGATGTTGCAAAAGACCAGGTAAGCATGTATTTTTATTTTAAACATAATACATTCTGAAAAAACACTAAATCCCATTTAATACACGTTCTTTAGTATACTGTATATTCTACATGTAATGTTATGCAATTATGTGCCTTTGGTAAAGTCATCTAAAATAATAATGAAAGCATTTTTTCTTGCCGCAGCCTTACTTTACCTTCAGTAGAAAGAGAACATCTTTCTCACTGCTTACACCAACAAAGGTGAAAAAGTAACAAGTGAAACACATCTCACTCTTACCACTTATCATCTTCATCCCTTTGGTAACACAAGGCCTCATTCAACATTGCCGCCATTAACATCTACACTTGAATTCTGTTCTGTTTCAGTAGCAACATATTAACCTACTGTAAGAGGCTTTTGGATGACTGTGATTGTGACTGTTATTGAATTCCGCTGAAAAAAAAGAATATATTAAATCATTCAAATTCATTATATTTCATCCCAATTACGTTAAACAAGCCAATGATTCTTGAACCTAAAACAAGTAGTTAGTTGTGTCAGCAGTCTGCCGTAACTGGCATCCATCTTCTGCTGAAGGCCACACGCAGCTGAGAAGACCTGTGCAGGTCAAGGGGCACCTTCCTCAGCTGTGAAGCCTGTTGCAAAGGATGCCACTGCAGGTCCTCTAAGCAAGCTATTTAGACAGAAGATACATGATCTCTTCACGGAACCAGAATGGTGATTATTCTCCTTTTTACATGCACTAACTAATTGTTTGTTGTTACCAAACATTCACAGAAAGAGGCCCAACCAACAACAACAACTACTGTGAGTACTAACTAAATAAATAAATAAACATATAAATAAATCATGTTTTGTGAGCTATTAACTGGATGTCGGTGATCAACTATTCCTATTTTGCTTCCTTTTCCATTGTGTGTCTCTCTCGAATAGGCTGCACAAGTAGTGGATGCTCCAGCAGCAGCCAAAGGAGGAATGTCAATCCCACCACCTCCAGCCCCACCTAAGATGGAGGTTAAAGCAGAACTAGCTGCCCAACCTGTGACTAACACACCAAAAGAAGAACCAAAGGGTGCTGCCAAAGAACCAGAGGCCGCCAAGCCAAAATCTGACCTCCCGTTCAGCAGACTTTTCAGCAGAAAGGTAAGCCAATGCTGGCACTACAAGGCACTTAGAAGGAATCTTTGGCAAAAGAAATTCAGCAGCTGATAACATTCTGTAAAAGAGAACGTAAAACATAAATGTGTGTCAGATTGTAACAGTTTGATGTGAATTTGAGGCACTGATAGGCCTCAAGTCTAAAATCAAGGTTAAGTCAACAAGTGGAGCCAGAGCCCCTGCCAAGCCTGCTGCAGCGGTATGACAATACAACATTCAGCCATTTTGAAACTAACAGAGTTAAGCTCACTGTGACATCCTTCATTTCATTTAACTGTTTTAAAATCATTGCTGGGTACAAGATCTACTAGCTACATCATACAGACTGCTGCCCTTTCTCTTGAGCAGAGCGTCAAGACAGATACCAAACTAAACAGTCCCTCAGAGCAGTCCCTCAGAGCATTCCTGTAAATGTAGATCCATCCTGATACTTCCAGTGACATATTGTGACATTTCATGGAGTTTTATTGCTGATGTTTTTCTCAATGTGGAATCAACACACTTTAGATGGTGTTGCAATCAGCTGGACTGATAGCATGGCTTGTGGAGAATGGGCTTAGGTCTGCATCTATTCATTTATCATCTGTGAACATAAATAGCATAATAGCATCCCAAACAACATCAGAAATCCAACATAATCTAATTCAGTCATTTTAACCCAAGGAAACAGCAGACCAACTATTAATTTCATACAGAAACTGAATTAGATTTTCATTCTGACTGTATGTGTGCATGTGTGACTTTGTGTCTTTATTTGTGTGGTGAACTGTGCTTCTACAGTCGTGGTCAAAAGTTTTGTATTGGTCTTCACAAAGTTCGCTGCTTCAGTGTTATGATATATTTTTGTCAGATGTTACTATGGTACACTGAAGTATAATTACAAGCATTCCATAAGTGTCAAAGGCTTTTATTGACAATTACATTACGTTTATGCAAAGAGTCAATATTTGCAGTGTTGACCCTTCTTTTTCAAGACCTCTGCAATCCGCCCTGGCATGCTGTCAATTAACTTCTGGGCCACATCCTGACTGATGGCAGCTCATTCTTGCATAATCAATGCTTGGAGTTTGTCAGAATTTGTGGGTTTTTGTTTGTCCACCCGCCTCTTGAGGATCGACCACAAGTTCTCAATGGGATTAAGGTCTGGGGAGTTTCCTGGCCATGGACCCAAAACTTCGATGTTTTCTTCCCTGAGCCACTTAGTTATCACTTTTGCCTTATGGCAAGGTGCTCCATTATGCTGGAAAAGGCATTGGTCGTCACCAAACTGTTCTTGGATGGTTGGGAGAAGTTGCTCTCGGAGGATGTGTTGGTACCATTCTTTATTCATGGCTGTGTTCTTAGGCAAAATTGTGAGTGAGCCCACTCCCTTGGCTGAGAAGCAACCCCACACATGAATGGTCTCAGGATGCTTTACTGTTGGCATGAAACAGGACTGATGGTAGCGCTCACTTTGTCTTCTCCGGACAAGGTGTTTTCCGGATGCCCCAAACAATCGGAAAGGGGATTCATCAGAGAAAATGACTTTACCCCAGTCCTCAGCAGTCCAATCCCTGTACCTTTTGCAGAATATCAGTCTATCCCTGATGTTTTTCCTGGAGAGAAGTGGCTTCTTTGCTGCCCTTCTTGACACCAGGCCATCCTCCAAAAGTCTTCACCTCACTGTGCGTGCAGATGCACTTACACCTGCCTGCTGCCATTCCTGAGCAAGCTCTGCACTGGTGGTGCCCCGATCCCGCAGCTGAATCAACTTTAGGAGACGGTCCTGGCGCTTGCTGGACTTTCTTGGGCGCCTGATGCCTTCTTCACAACAATTGAACCTCTCTCCTTGAAGTTCTTGATGATCCGATAAATGGTTGAGTTAGGTGCAATCTTACTAGCAGCAATATCATTGCCTGTGAAGCCCTTTTTGTGTAAAGCAATGATGACGTCACGTGTTTCCTTGCAGGTAACCATGGTTAACAGATGAAGAACAATGATTTCAAGCACCACCCTCGTTTTAAAGCTTCCAGTCTGTTATTCTAACTCAATCAGCATGACAGAGTGATCTCCAGCCTTGTCCTCGTCAACACTCTCACCTGTGTTAACGAGAGAATCACTGACATGATGGCAGCTGGTCCTTTTGTGGCAGGGCTGAAATGCTGTGGAAAAGTTTTTTGGGGATTAAGTTCATTTTCATGGCAAGAGGGACTTTGCAATTAATTGCAATTCATCTGATCACTCTTCATGACATTCTGGAGTATATGCAAATTGCCATCATCAAAACTGAGGCAGCAGACTTTGTGAAAATTAGTATTTGTGTCATTCTCAAAACTTTTGACCACGACTGTACACACCTACCTGTGCCTTGCCATGCAGCCCATACAGTAGAAGGTCTAGTTGGCGTGCTATATGGCACATGTTCAGATTAACATCATTCTCCTCTCCTGTAGACAGTGGAACCAGTGGAGCCACAGCCAGTTGTGGAAGTACAGGTAAAAGGAGAGAACTCTTGGCATACTCCATCCTCACCGTGCCATCTTTTTCTCTTTCTGTCGGGTTGCATGGTGACTGTGGGTGTTCACGCTATCAGTTACAGAGGAGGCTGATGGGAGGAGCTATAAGAGGACGGGCTCATTGTAATGCCTGGAATGGAATCAATGGAACGGAGTCAAACACGTTGTTTCCATGTGTTTGTATTTGGTACCATTCCAGTGACTCCATTATGTTATGATGAGTTTCTCTGGTATCAAGGAATTCAATATGCAAGAAGATATTTAACACTTAGATGGAGAGTTGATAAGTATTTGATAAGTACAAAGTATTTAATAGATACGGTACCGGGTTTGCATAACAAACGGCACGTGCGTTGCCTCTTGTCTTCCGATCTACTAGAGAAAGAAAATATCTCTCTTCTTATAGTCCCTGTTACATATTGCTTCAACAACATCTGGTAACCATCAGTTGGCACTCCCCACCCTGATGGTATCACCTTGTACCCAAGGCAGGATATTCCATCTATCAATCATTCTAAGATAAACAACTGGAATTCTTGGCATTCAGACTCTGTGGCACCATGTCCCAATTTCAATGTCTCACCTGAGAAGCTACCATCTATACCCCCCATTCTGTCTCGTCCATTTGCCAACCAGTATACCAGCAACATGAGAAATATTGAATTTGAACGGATCTCTCTCCATGCTCACTCCACGTGGACTCCTGTCACACTCCCAAGATACAAGCATGAGAGAAAATCAGTTGATAGCTTCGATTGGATGCTGTACACCTGTTGCAGGTAGAAGTGGTGCTGTACAGGACCGTATTCAATGCCTTTGTTGCGCCTCTTCAGCTGGTTTAGAGTTTTTTTTTAGGTTAAACCGTTCTTGACCAAATTATCCCTGCTATGCATCACGACACCATCTGTAGTTACCTCGAGAGAGGACAGATCATAACAGTTTGACGATGTATGGTCAGAGAGTGTCCTTCTGGCAGCATACCAATAGGGAAGCTCGAAGTCACTACTGCAAAGACACACAGACACAGACAGACACAAAATAAAACAATGCTACCCAATGGCGAGGCCATCTTCATCTTCTGGTTTGGAACTGTCCTACAGTTGGACACATGGATCCAGGTATCTGTCTCTGCCACTTTTACCATCATCAAGGTAGTCAGCAACACCTAGTTCGGGCCCCTCCACTTAGGGTCTTTCCAGATCTTTCTTCTGTAGTCTTTTACTGCCACAAAGTCTCCAGGGTGCAGACAATGCTCAGATTCTCCTGCTAGATTGGGCAGAGAAACCTTCACCCGTGGGAAGAAAGTCTTAATAACATTGTTAGGTGAGACACAGTATGCTACTGTACCATGTATTCTCATCAGTCAGGAGAAGCCTTGAGATTAGGAAGTGCACATTCATAGACAAGCCCCCTACTTTGTTTCCTGCCACACATACATTTACACATAAAACATTCCATCTAACCCATAACACATTAATTACTACTGCTGATATTCTTAGTACAATTCGCATATTTACCAAAAGGCCCCAGGGGACCAGTAATTCCCCCCTTTGGACACATGACTCACATTGTGATTCATGTGTTCAAAAAATTAAACAACAACATTGCCTGTTAAACCAAAATAATACATTAAATTAGAATGACAACCCTTGATAACGTCTTAAATTAATTGTATCCCATAAGGTAATTCAGGAATAGTAAAATTGACACTCTCTCTCTGTCCTTGTCATGGTCCGAATCACAAATATGGCTATGAACTATAAACTCCTTCATAATTATCAGTGTTTACATATTACATTTAAATCTCACACAATGTTTGTAGGCTTTCTAGTGAGGGTGATCAGGCCTCACCAGAAAGTCAGAACAGAGGTCAGAGGTAATTGAAATCCTTCAAATAAGTGTTTCATTCTATAGTAGACTAATCATTAACAACAGTCAAAAGATTTCATACATTTCGTATCCCAAGTGTACAGTAAGTCCTCAGTACAGTTCTTTTCAAAATAAATCACATATGTTTAATTAAAACTCACTCAGAAAATAAAACTTCAAAACCCACTAAACAAAATGAAATAGTCCACTCAGTCAAACATGTTTTAACACCACTACCAAATATACATAACAAGTGTATTGTGTGGTTATTTGCAAACCATATGGTAAACAAAACAAACAGAAATAAATAAAATAAAATGGTCAGGCCTTGTTTTATTTGGTAGATCCCTTCACTGCCTACTCCGGATATCTTACTACTTATAAAACTGCCAAATTTAACTAACATCTCTCCCCAAGACCACATACTCGGGAACATCTGAAAAAGATAATGAAACCCCCTTCTCCTGTAAGAAAAAGTATAGATATTGTTAACATTCACTCTAAATCATTAACGATCATGACGATGATAATTCCACTATCTTCCCTCACATCTTAATCGATGTTTACATTTAATTCCTCATTACTACTCCAGAATAAGATGACCTAAAATCTCTCACAAGATGAAAACCACCCAAAGTTCTCTGATTTTGCAGTGAGTATTTTTTATTGATTACCCTTTAGACTCCACTGTCCGTAATTCACACAAGGATTATTCAACCCCAAAATCGGCTCCATTTGCTCCATGTCAAATTATCGTGGTATCGTTACTGGATCAACAAAATAGGTAATAGCTGTTTCGCCTTAGATTGTTCCTGTCAACCCTCTGCATGTCATATTTTATTCAGTCGGCAATATAATCAATTACTACGCGTAAGGAATCAATGATATTTTATCTCATAGCTTTTATTTAAAAGGTTGTTTGAGACGTTGTCTCCTACTTTTCCCTTAACATACATACTATAGGGGACTTCCATCAGTCCTGAAAAATAGACTCCCACTCAAGACACATTAGATAATACCGTGTTCCATTAAGTGTAATATACACCTTCTAAACTAACAAACCCATAACTACTTTCTGGTAATCTTGTTGCAATGATTTAGTAACAAATATAAATGTGTTGTTTAATCAATCCAGAACCTACAAAAAGTTGGTGCTGTCCCATCAGCGTAATAGTCAAAACTACCTGAAATCCACTGTTCCATGTAACGGAAACAGATTATCATCTTTAGAATTCAGTAACTGCTTGCATAAATCACTGGTGTTACGCAACTATAGAATTGAGTAATAATAATTAGAAATCATTTTAAAAAATCCCTATTCAACTATTCAGATCTCTGCTTCAAATTTCCCACTACATCCTTACACCAGCGGCGTAAAACATGGCATTAGTAAAGCCTATCCACAAACCACCAATAACTAATAGCATATTTGCATTCACCTTGTTAGCAAACATTATTGTCATTCCAGTCTACACAAACAATTCAATTCTACATTCTCATTTCCCAATTACATTAGCTCTTTAATGATAATTAGTTTGATGGAAACCCTAAATTGGCTTTGTACTATATTATAAGTGACATCGTTAATTTCCAAACCTTATGGGCAGTTTTCTCTTACATGTTGTACCCGGATGGAGAAAATCCCATAAGCCTTACTAGTTACATGTACATCATTAGGTTAAGTCAGTTCCCTATGTTATCCAAAAAGTGGACATACGCGAATCCATTGTCTAAGACTATTACCCCTAGTTTGTAGGCAGTCACATAATGCTTAACCTTATCTCTATCAAATGATCCATAAATGGCACCAACTCAGAAAACGTTTATTTATTGTTTCCCACCCCTCACGTACGTCTATGTTTTGGGTGCGCAAGTTAGCATATATTAATATTATTACAATTATGACTTTATGAAATCTCTATTAATTGATTACACACACATAAAATTCATCATATTTTCACATATTTACATAATCCATATAGAACGTTAGAAACTCCTAGGTAATCACATCAACCAATCCCTTTGTGTTTTTAACGATTCTCAATCGACACAAATCAGCTTCTTAAACATACTCCCAGCGGAACCAAAAAACAGACTTTAGCTTCCCGGACACTGCCCTGCCTGTCATGGGATCCTCCCAGAAAATACAGACTTTCCACTACTTTGTAAAACACCATCCCTGCTATCAATACCACTGCTTGATCTTCTATGACCTAATTCTGTTATATATCGAAACTTATTATCCAAACTTGTATCAAATTATCATACACATTTCTATAACTTATAATGCACACTTCAGATTAAAATTAATTTCTGCTCTCTGTTCATAAGGTAGCCTATGTTGTTCCATTCAATTACTTAACTTCGTTAGCTGACCTTTGCTCCTTATTAATTATATTTCCAGGCCATCATGTGCTCATTAAATCCCATGCTTTATACGCCAATTTCTTATAATCTAAATCCCATTTCGTGTTGCTTACTGCGATATTGTCAATTATATATTTTCACGCTATCTGTAACTTATCCCTTTTAAAACTACCATCTTGAGGATACTCATTATCTGTCCATGCTGATAAATCACTGAGATATGGTTCCACATAGAAAAATCCTAATTTTCTTAACATCCATTCGTGCGATGTGTGATTTTCTATACTTTTAAAAGAGACATGTTTTAAATGCGGATTTGTCTGCAATAATTTCATCATTTCCTTTCTTTGTCTTCGAGGCAAATCAAGCTCTGATTTATTCTTAATTGTGATTGTCTTGCCAGATACCGGTCTACTGAGTTGGCTCCCCAATGTTTTTATATTAGTTAATGCAATGTTAGTAATTAAATGTTTGAATCAAATCCCCATCTTGTTCTTCTTTGTTTGTTTTTTTAACATTTTGTTTGTCTATTTAGCCAGTGGTGCCGTAATCCAAAATGTTAAATTGTAGCTGCAGTATTAGTTATGGTTTTCTTTCTCTCTTGCCCGTCTTGAGTAATTCACAAAGGACTAATTCTCTCTTATAGGGATTTTACAAAGGACTCTAACCTTTACTCAAACCTAACACTTTATGATGATTTTTACACACCAAAGGACTCAAACCTATATTTTTATATCTTTATAATGTCGTACACATTAAAGGACTCAAACCTAAAACTTTATGACGATTGTACACACCAAAGGACCCAAACCTATATTGTTCTATCTTTATAATGTCGTACACATTAATGGACTCAAACCTAATCTTGTTAAACCCACTCTCCTTCTCCTCTGTTGTTTTTACTCATTACTCTGAACACACCCTGTTTTGAATCATAGCACCATGTCATTGTCTAATTTCATATTTCTCCCTACATCTCTTTAAATAACTCAATACAACTAATCTTCCCCCTCAAAAATATTGAATTTTAAATGTTATTTACAGCTCAGCTTTACCACAGATAAGCAGAGTTTAACACAATCCAAAAAATGAAGGTCTGCTTACCTGTCGGTTAGGCCGTAAACTGTATCCCGTTTGTAGACGCCAATCTGTTATGATGAGTTTCTCTGTTATCAAGGAATTCAATATGCAAGAAGATATTCAACACTTAGATGGAGAGTTGATACAAAGTATTTAATAGATATAGTACCGGGTTCGCATAACAAACGGCACATGCGTTGCCTCTTGTCATCCGAACTACTAGACAAAGAAAATATCTCTCTTCTTATAGTCCCTGTTACATATTGCTTCAACAACATCTGGTAACCATCAGTGGGCACTCCCCACCCTGATGGTATCACCTTGTACCCAAGGCAGGATATTCCATCTATCAATCATTCTAAGATAAACACCAGTAAGCTCCCTCAACATACTGGCATTCTTGGCATTCAGACTCTGTGGCACCAAGAGTTACCTATCTAATGGATTTAACCTCGTTCCTACAACACTGTGAAACCACGTCAAATCACATTCCTTCCATTACAATGAGCACATCCTCCTATAGCTCCTCTCACCAGCCTCCTCTGATCAGTTACAAGTTGTTTCATTCATCTCATCAATACGGTGGCACTAAGGGGCAAAGTACATCATATCTCTTTTACAGTACCAGTTTTGGTACCTGAGTGGAGATTTTCATCCCCCTCTTATCTGTTTAGTGGGTTCTTTTCTGGTTCTTCCAGGTGGCGGACTCTTGTTTCTAATGGGCTCTCACACCTTCCTTAATCCTGACAATGGTTTATAATTAAGTTTTCTCTTTTGCTATTTCGATAAAGAAGGTAGACTCCTCAAAGATGGCCACTCTGGAGGCCTCTGCCAAACCAGAACCACCACCACCTGCACCAGAGGAAGAGAAGACACCTGCTGCATCCAAAGCCTCTCCTTTCACTTCCTTTTCTCTTTTCAAGGTAAAGCAGACATTTTACTCATATCTCACTTTGGTTCTCAACGGGAACTACACATGAAATGTCATTTTGGAAAGACAGGAAAATGTGTAAATGTGATAAACAATAACGGAATGGTGTGATAATTTGAGGACCTGCTAAACCAAATGGCCTCAAAAGTCCAGACAGCTTCAACAAGTGGAGTCCGACTCCTCAAGAAACCTTTCAAAGGGGTAAATGACCATACTTGCCAGCCAGTGTGAAATTAACAAGAGTGATCTCACTGAGTTCAGCTTATGCTATGCTGGTACTACCATATTGAAGTATCCTGCACAAATAATGAAATATCCTCCATAAATAATGTATATTATTTGGTACAGCAATTGAGATGTTGCATACACATGATCCGAAAACAGCTGGTAGTGATACTTTCTAATATCTCATCATTTTATCATCTTTACCAGCCATAACAATGCTCCCATTTATGTAGTCACTATTTCATTGCATCAGTTGTGCTCATGTATTGTGCTAGTCAGTGTGTTAATGTGTGTGCTCAGCTTTTTTAACTGGTGAGAGCAAGGAGGCAACATCATAATTAAGCTTCCTTTTGGATCGAAACTTGGAAGCCCAATGGCTTTCAGATGAACATTAAATGACTCAAATTATACTTTGAAATGTATCTCTTGATTATTTGTCATAATTCAATCAGGCTGCTGAGCCGAAAAAGGAAGCCCCTGCCCCAGCTGCAGAAGCGGTAGCTGGCCCAAGTGTAGCCAAGGATGAACCAAAGGCCCCAGAGGCCCCTGCTGTGGACAGCAAGCCCGTGTCAGGGCCCTCCGAAGGTGTGGAGAATTCCCCCGTCCTCCCTAAGAGACTGGAGAAGAGGAACTCCATCCACTTGTTCTTCAAAAACCTGGTAGGCTGAATTTGCAATCCCTCTCATAGCCAAATTTGCAACCAGTATATGGCCTCGGCAACTCCCCATGACTATGAACTGTACTTCACTACGAAATGTCATTGAAAGATATTGCTTTGGGCAAAGTCATGTGAGGAAAGCAAATATAGGTTATTCCATGCAGTTTGAGCTACACTGATGACCAAAATGACCCTTCCCTTTCCTTGCAGGGCAAACGGCAGACAGATGCTGGAGTACAAACAGAACCAGAGAAGACCAAATAAAACGGAAACACCCTTTCAAACCTCACATGTCATATTTTTGCCAAACAAAATTAATCTGGAAATGAACTTTTTGTTTGTTAGATACATTATGTTTCTGGTCACACTACTGAAGGGATGATGGTAAGAGCAAGTGGTTTGAGGGGGAGAGGTGGACTGTGGACTGGTCTGTTCTAGTCTAATCTGTGTGGAGGATTTCAGAGAATTGTTCTTTGTGGAGGAGGTAAAATATATATTTTTTTCTGGTTCAAAGGCTTGATAGGTAGAGAAAAGTGTGGTTTTGTGACGTATACTGAGAGCAAAATCCATTTTCTATACAGTATTTACCCTTGTTTTAACACACGTCAAACTCATTCCACGGGGGGCCGATCGTCTGCTGGTTTTTGCTCCTCCCTTGATTGATTGATTGATTGATGAATTAAGGTCACTAATTAGTAAAGAACTCCCCTCACCTTGTTGTCTCGGTCTTAAAAACGAAAAACCTGCAGACACTAGGCCCTCCATGGAATGAGTTTGACACCCCTGCTTTAACATATTAATATATCTAAGGATCTAATGCAAATATTACCTTTAGCATATTTTCCCCCCTCTTTATATACACATTTTACTAGTCTGAAAGAACTTGTGGAGTGCATACAATGGTTTCAGATAAGTTCATAGGACGTCTTGGAGAAGAGATGCATAAAGCTCAGCTTGGGATAGAGAGATAGTAATGGAATATACTCAACATTTAATGGAGGAGTTGGTGAAATGGTGGATATTCCTGCCAATATGTTTTGATTTAGGCTAGACACATGCAATTTACAATGTACGTTTTAAACTTTGCAGGAACTATAGACGGATGCAAATATATGTCAAACACTAAATTACAATTCATGATTATATAATAGTACACGGGGGACCTCACAATCATTACGTTTTTTGGGAACTACACAGATCATCTGGTAGTCTATATAGCTAACACTGCACAGTCATGAATCATATCTGATTAACGTTTTTCTGAAGAATAAAGGTTAGTTTTAATTTGAGTGTACTGCTTTACATGTGTGTGCCTGTTTGAATGCAGTTGTTATCATCTTGGGGATCATGTCTGTTTATTTCTGCATCTATAATTTGATAGACTGGACCTGGAAGTATAATGTGGGGGCGGGGGGGGGTTATTGTTCTACTAAGCTAACAGATTTTTTTAAAGATCATACCATTGATACTTTAGCTTTTAATTTAAGGACCCCTGGAGGTACAAAAAATATTTTAAAAATCAATTCGATAAAATATTGAATTTGGCCTTTACTGATATAGCCCATAGAAACACATTGAATAACACAAAAATAAATAATAAGGAATAAGGTTTTGAAGTGTCTGTCCTATATCTAGGAGATTATTTTTGTACACATTTTAACCCCTTTTTTGGGGGGTCACAAAACTACTTCCATACTTCCATTAATTTTTCAAACCAGTACCGGGGTACCTTCAGACGAGTCCTTTGAAACTTGTGGGGAGTCCCGTCGTGTGAGTCGCCCCTTTCCATAGAGTGGTCATATTCATTTGTAGGCCAAACCATTCGGACGCTACAGACATTTTCGTGAGAAGACTGATTTTCGGCATGTATCCTGGTCTGGCAAACAGCGCTGTAGCTCTGACACTTTCCACAACAGATGCGGAAGGCGGACATAGGTTGATGTGGTGGATTGAGACACAGCCCATGAAAAAAAAAAACAGATACATGTACAGAATCTCTAGCTTAAACAGATAGATTTTGATGGGATTTTTTATTATTATGTTAATTAGATTGACGCACGGGTGCGTTGATCGACTCTAGGGGGTATTTAAAGCTATTTTTCTGTAACTGTAAAGAGAATAAATGTGTACAATTATTTGTTTTCTTGTTTTCTATTTCACAATTTAGGCCAAAAGTTATCAGTATAGGGAAATACGAAAACATATTTAGAGTGAACTTAAATGCCCCTGTAATATATTGATTTAATGTTATCATCAAACATGGTTATCAAGTGTTGCAATAACTGAAAAAGACATGACCCAACAAGTTTATCAACACATCTTGTATTCCTGAAGTAGGGAGCCAAGCTGTCTCAGCTATGTTAGAAGACCACACCTCGTTGAATACAAACATCTTAAACACTGAACAGCACCCTTGCTAATTACCCAAGCAACATGGCTTTGATTGTTATGGCAATTGTCAGGCATTCATGTTAGATGAAAATAAATGAGAGCCTTAGAGAGTATGAAAAATCCTCACAGGCAAATAATTTTACCAGCTGATCTGAAGGATTGTAAGCCTGTATGTGATTAAGGAGTGACTCTAATCTTTTTTTATAGCATCCTTATATTAATTTGTGTGGTGATTCATAGCTGAGTTTGCATCATGGAGTCCTCTGTTTGTGGAGGAATGTGTTTTAGATGGCTGTGTCTGAGATCATACACCTTTAAGTGATGAGGCGCCGTGCCTGAAGGCGTAACTCACACTGCTCCTTTGTTAACTGAAGCACTGTTATTCTTGCATTGCCCCCTGTAATCACTGTGATCGGTTCAAATTGTGCATCAAAGTAATTTCCCATGAAGTGGCAGGGAAAAAGAGAGGAGGGAAGGGAGCTACGCTATGGGTAGGGTAGTAACAGATGGTTATTTGGTCCATTGTCTGTCCTTTTCCCCTTGCAGATCATTTCAACTTAAGATGCAATATCACATTTTGCTCTGACAGTAACCATATAATGCTAATGTGTCTTAGAGAAGTGAGTTAAATTGTATTATCTTCAGAAGAGCTGAAGTAAATGGTAGCACATGGACTAGGAGAAAAACCGCAGCTGGGTCATTCCACCAATTCGGTGTCTTTTGAGAAGTGTAACTTGGTAAAGAAAAAACGTTGATTTCACCTAATTTTAACATTGTCATAAAGAGCACATGTACAATTCAATAAAAACACGTTCTCCCATCTTAAGAGGTTTAATAGAAAAAATACTATAGTAATTGCCTATTAAGTGCCAAATAAAGTAACAGGGTTGACCATAACAGGGTTGACGATTAAGTGATAATCCCCTCGAAGCTGGTGTTTGGAGGATATATTGGCACGGGTGTTGTTAGGCCCGAGACAAAGTAAAGTGCCAGCAAACCGTGCCAATTTATCCTCCAAACACTGGCTTCGAAGGTTGAGATGTTATGCCCGACCCGCTCAGTTTTCCACCACAAAACACCAGCAAATGGCCAAAAAGAGTAGAACCAGCTCACCTGATTTTACACTATGATTTGACTATTAGATGTTCAATGTTTATTTTCAAAAACTATTTCTGAAACGAGAGTTCAGTTCACGTAACAAGGTTGACCTTAAAATGAGGGACAGACATAAATGAACCTCTAATCACATGAAATAAATTATCATTTGTCAAAGCAACAAAATAACTAGGCCTTTACAATGATGGTGAAAACTTGGAGACATTTTAGTGTTAAGTGGGTTAAAACCTTCCTAGAAGTCACAGACGGTGCATGGAGGGACATGTCAAAATGCGGATATTTTGGCACTTTAGCAAGCCTTTATTCATATAAAAAATCTGATTGATTGAATGCTCCATGTGGTCTATATTAAAGGGCACTTTATTTAATATAACTTGCTATTAAAATTCAATATTGGTGCACAATTTCTACTTCAAATATCAAAGGGACGCAAAAGGCCCTCATTTCGTGGAACGACGAAGCTATTTTCTAAATGTGCTTTGACTAATGAGTACAAACCAGACAGACAGTTATGAAGAGTGGTAGACTTTATGATAATGCATTCACTGACTGATACATCTGAACTTACTTTGACTTCACCTTTGTGGCAGTATAAACACTCTGGAATATGCCAAATGCCAGATGTTTCATAGTCATATTCATAGTGAATCCTTATACCACTACAACAGGTAAAACGTTCCTACACTCCATAATTGTTGAGTTGCTTCTGCAGAAGACAAGAAGGGTGTAGCATAGCAACAGGGCTAGAAACCTCAGTGTGAACGTTGTGCAATAGGAAGATTTAACCATAATATCTCCTAGTTAAGAAACTGTCATCCTCCTCCAGAGGCGATGATCTATGACCATGCTGGTTCAGTTGATCACAGGACAGTAAGTGTGAGTGTGTGAATGAATGCACACCACACAGCACAGAGTACCAAGAGGGGGTAGGAGAGCAAAGGGACTAGTGGGCTGCTTGGGAGCCCTATGGGAACTGGGGAGGGCTGCTGTCAGCACCAATGTCTGTCAAGGCTATGCAGTGCTTTGGTGCTCTGCTCTGCAGCACCATGTGCATGGGGGATCACATTACAAGGACCAATGAAGACACAACATATTCCCAGGCCTCCCAATAACAGTTTAATGGCAATATCCAACTACCAGATTATGTTAAACTAACTGATATACTGTATTGTCAAGTCTGTATCAGCAGGCCATTGAGCATAATGTGGATGTATAGGATTCAGTATTCAGATGAACAGAGGCGCTCTTTAGAGGTGTGGCACCGGAGGGTGTTTTGTCATGTATTATGTGAAATTCTTTTGAGTTGAGTTGCTGATCTTGCTGGTTTGAGGGCCTGGGTGGACATGGCTAACAACCTTGTTTAGATTGTTGTTGACCTTATGGCTCATGAAGTGTAATAACTCTCCCAGTATTTAGTAGTGTACATCTATGGGACGCATCCTCTCATAATATCAAGTCCTTTCTGGCTTTGAAGATCTAAAGTGATCAATCCAAGGTCCATATTCCATGAATATAACATACAATACATTACATTTATAAGGAAATATGTTTTGGGTGTATACCGCAATACAGGAAAGAATAACTGTATTTCCGAGCAGCCAAAGCATTAGAAGAGGACAGTCAACACAAAATAACAATTTCTCTATCAAGCAGATGTAGAATATAACTAATCTTGATCTTGACCAGTTTAGAAAATTAAAACTATAAGAACTTTTACCTTATGTTGTAAGAATGTTTATCCTTCTTAAAGGCCTACAATTGATGATGAAAACAGCTTTAGAGATTCTATATTATCAGTGTCTTTCAGACAGAGCAGCACTATGGTTATAAAGGAAGCTGATCCGTGTGTCTGGAAGGGAACAATGCAGTCAGCTGTTGCTGACACATCCAGACAAGAACAAGTCTACATGCATAGTCTGTGAGGAGGACCTGACTCATGCACCCGTCCCTACATCACATATCAGAGCAGCGGGTTGAATACAAAATAATTATTTGTTTTGCTAATATGCTAAAAGATACCTTTCTCACCAACTCTATAATACAATTTGTTTTGTTTTCTTCTTTTGTAGAATAGAGGCTGATATTAGCTTTACCAATGTACCAATGACCTGAAATACAACAATTAATTGAAGTTACCTTTGGGGATTTTTTTTTTTGTATTCTATTTTATTTTATTCTGTTCTAAATCTCTGTTAATACAAACAATAGTGTATAGTACTTATTTCGTTTTGCCAATAGGATGTATTCTTGACATATGTTATTTTGTGTCTTCTTGCAACTCAAGTCAGAGGAAGACCGTGTGCTCTATTGCTCCCTGAATTATTGACTGAACAGAGCAACTTCTTTGCTTGGTATTTTTTTGTTAGGATCATTGGACAATACAAGCTGTAAGCAACAAGTTATGCACCAGGACCAGCTATGGAATTTCATGTTTAGACCGTTTCATCATTATCAGACATATTACTGCCATTCCAGATTGCTAGCTTTTCACAAAGCCTTTGTGTCCAGGGAACAATGGGAAATGAGCGGGAGGCCACCGTGTGTCACATGTGGTGCCTTTGATTAACATTCTAGACTTGTTTGTATGACAGGAACTCAATATATAAAAAAGGCTAAAAAGAACACAATGTTGTTTTATACACTTAAAGTAAAAAAGGTACAATATTGCTTCTTCATTCAACAATAAGCAATCTGTTGGAATAGAATCCCCTCCTTGGCCATATGTTCAGTTCAAGACATTTACATAGGTCAAATAAATAAAGCAATGATCACATGAAACTATGATCAAAAACTTAATTTGAATATAAACATGACATTGGAAATCTATTTGGCTGTTAACACAGTATTAATGTATCAATGGTGGCAGAAAGAAATTACTGCTCTGTGAGTTCGTTTTTCCCTGAATAGGTTTTATTTCTGACATTGATGTATTATGTAGCCTAAATTCACGTTTCTGACACAAGCCTGGTGGGTTATTGAGACATCAAAATTGTTTCACTCAGAGACCAGTATACCTCCTGGGGACATTTTCTTGGTGTTTGCTATAACCTGCTCTGTAGACCACAGAGGGAGTTGGACATGTCCCAAATGGCTGTGGTGGTGCGCCACACGATTGCCTGTGTATTCTGGGTTCATCATGCAGGCTGGGTGGAGCTCCATGGCAAGGTTCAGCCAGTTGTTGGAGATGTTTTGGCAAATGCCTGCTGACAGCAGTCGATGTTGATTTGTTCACTGTTCTTCACCCTCGACAGCTGGGGATGGGTTTCTCTCCCAATGACTACTGCACTGTGATTTAATCCTTAAGCCATTCAGAACTAAAAAACGTAAAAAAAATAATGGTTCAGTCTGGTGTGATGAATGCTTTCTTAATTGAAAATGTTAATCTCAATGTCTATTTTGTTGACAATATCATGCCAAAGGAAAACAAGGAGATCCTATAATTCTTATGTGTTCTATTCTATATAATTATGTGATGTAATATTTGTTTTAAGTCTAACCAGCAATGCAAGTAAAAATAATCATCAAGTCTCTAAATTAACTAAAACTAACAAAACTGTAACATAGAACCTTTATCACTCAATAGTTGTTTATCTAAGCTAGTAGAAGAGGAGGGTTAGGGTGGGGTTAACATCCAACATCCAGAGACAGTGTGATTGTGTTTAGGTCTCCTCACTATCTTGAGCCATCACAAATTCAAGAAGGGCGAGTATTCATGAGGTAAAGTAGTACTAATACATCATTTCTGTGAAAAAGCACATTGTGAATAGATTTTTCAGAGTAGTCAATGGCATAATAATTGAAAGTGGAACCACAATGAGATCTATGCTACTGCCAGCTGTCAGATGAGCTGGGGTGGGGGAGGGGTGAAGCAGTTGCTTTGACATGCATGCACTCTGATGAAAAGAGGAGGAAAGGTGATCAACTGTACTAAGAAAGAATAAAGTATTGGTCTCAACTTTACATTGTCTGTTATTAAATACATTTATCCATCAAGTTTTTTTTTGTTGCTCATCTTGAATAGAATGTAGGTTAGTTCAATTCATTGATTTTCCATTCAGTAGATCCCTGTATTTCATGGTTGCATTGTAGGCTATGGTATGTTATGGATTGAATTATCATGATTATTTCTGAACAGTTTGGTGTCTTACAATAGCACAAGTATTCCAATTCATCATTTGAATACTTTTGAGTTTCAATAGTGTACATCTGTCCAAAACTAAAATAAAACCTGATTTCCAATAAATATTCAAAATCATGTCACAAATAAGAAAAGGGGGAAAAGGTTGAATAGCCAAATTACTTTTGCAGTGATCATTTGATATAAAGACAAAGCTATAAGGCTATCATTCAATGCTGGAAACACACAATGACCTGTTGATGCATAGGACATCATCCCACATGTAGCTGTGAGTTTTAGGTCCCCATCCCCCCTCCCCACATGGTGCTCTGTCCTGTTGCAATGGGAAGTGGAGTGAGAGATGTGTAAAAGTCAACTCTATATCTGAACAACATGGGGTTGAGACTTTTGCTTAGAACAAAGAGTTTAAAAACGTTGCTATTTTATTTAGGCCTAGTTGCTAACTAACCGTGACTGTCTCAAATGGGAAATTATGTAGGATACAACCAGCTCATATACAGAATAGAATCACACTGTAATCTTTCAACAAATAGCCAATAATCTTATCTAGGCCTATCCTCTAACTTTCAGACCAAATCAACAGCTGACTAACCATCCCCATGACACAATCGCCATTACAATGATTACATTTGTGCAGTCCACCTTGTTCTTGTCTTTTGTAATAGATCTACAGACGTTCTGTTACCTTGCTTTCATAAGAGAGAAATATGTGTGTGCCGCACTATTGTTTATTATGTAATTATGTTCCACTGTATTATACATTTTATTTTATAGAATGATTTACTTCGTCAAAAGTTGCGACCACGTGACTGTTGTCCCTGTTTCGCTTTTGAGGCTGTAGTGCACGCGCTACTTCTCTCCCCGATTCGTTGAGAGCGCGCCTCACAATTCAACAGCTGCACAGAGAGATTTGCAAACATTGAATAAGAACAAAATGACCGACAATTGTAGCAAGGTGAACTAATTTGGCTAGCTGCTATTATTAATCAATTAACTAGATTAGCGACAGGACATAATACGCAGTTTATATAACTTAGATACATAATTTCGATGAATTGAAAGTTTACCTGGAAAGCCTGAATTGGTAGGTATTGGTGAGTTATCTACAGTTTATATAAAACGAGCGTATTGATTGCTAGCTAGTTAAATTAATTAATGTTATGAAACTATTTCGCAAGGTGAACTCAAATGATGGTTAATTAGGATATGTTTTATTTCCTGCCATTCACCCATTAACTATGTCTGAGTCCAGCAATTGTTAGCGATGTCTTTGTGCCTGCTAAATTAGGAATTTGCGTGCTTAGCTAGCTAGAAAGCTACTTTGCTGAATTTCGCAATGTTTGGTAGGAAGTTGCTGTCCCCGTGCTTCAGATAGTTAGTTAACCACTGATAGACAAATTAACGTTAGAAGGATGTAGCCGGATGTAGCCTAGCTAGCAAAATGAGTTACAAAAGTGACTGAATTATAGCTATATCAAAATTAATCCAATAGAAAAGCCATGCTGCACGATTTATCTTTTTCTGTGTGACATATGAATAACTCGCTAGCTATGTAACTTTAAGACTTCACATTCATTTAGCCATCTAATTTGGCATGCATTACAGATTCATAACCTTTGGATTAACTCGACGAGTGGATCATTTGTCTTTTATCACGTTGCATGCGTTGGATAACAAAAGCGCTGGAGAACCAAATTGGAGACCTGTTCGCGTAGCTGAGTAAACCTCAGTCAAATAACGTAGCTACTTTACTATCTAGTTTTATGACTAGCATAACTATTATATAAAAATAGGTGGCTGACTGGGATGGGTCACAGAGAAGCCTAATATTTTCAGATAAGATCATTTTCTCATCATGGTTGATGACACTTGTAACTTCCTTATAAAACAGTTGGCAACTTCCACTGATTGCCAACACAGGTCATCTTGTCTTGGCTTGTTGAACAAAGAATGAACACATTCTGCTAGGTCAGCATACATTTACTCAGAAGTGGAAGCCAAAATGGGTAAAAAAAATATATAATGATTTAATTTAAATTTGCAGCTGGTTGTAGAGACTATCAAACTGTTTATGCAATGTCATAATTTTAACTACGATGTATTCATGTAACTAGTTTGTCCAGTTATTCCACATTTTATCCAACTGCTAAAAATATATAACCACAAGCCAAGGCTTTGCATTAATGGAAAACTGTCAAATGATGTGTTAAATATGTAGCCATGTGCAATGAAATTATGCATTCTTCATAGTACTTTATCATGCTAAGAGGAAATGAATGTCTCAAATTCAGTTTCAATTTGAGAACTCAATTTCCTTGTTATTTGAGTTAACTGCCTAAATGCCTTTTAGCATTCATAGGCCTCACCTTGCCATGATGATAGGTCTGTGCTATCCGGGAACCTTGGGACGTCCCTACCCCGTTGAAATGTAAAATGGTTAGGATTTAGGGTAGGGACGTTCCAAGGATCCCCGGATAGCACTGATACATGATGATACTACATTAGCCTAACTTTGTCCTTGTTATTTTGTATTTTACAGGAATCTACTTACTAACTCCCCTGGATGAATCACTGATAATCTTCCACAATGATATTCAGAAACGTCATCCAGTAACTCCTTACTTATAGAATACTCAAGTATATAGATCAATTGCACAACTTTTGAGGAAATGCCAACTCACCCGTTGTTGCCATATGTGGAAAGTACTGATGGACTTGGACAAGACATTCTAAATATTAGTAGTGGTGCTAGCATGCCAGGGGCTGGCTCCAGCATGACTCCTCACAGTACCACCATCACTAACAAAGCCGAGGCTCAGCCCGAGGGAAGCCTGCTGGAAGCCCTGGACTGCATGTTTTGTGACCAGACCTTCACACACCAAGATGACCTGGGCCCACACGTCCTGACCCAGCACCCCACAACACTGTTTGAACCAGCCGTTCTGCGTGTGGAGGCTAAGTTCTTGATCCCAGGTGAGAGGGCCCGGTCCAAACCCAGTTTGCCATCTGTAAAGGAGGTGGTGTTTAGCTGCGTTGTGTGTGATCAGGCCACAGAGGGTGCCAGCGAGCTGGAGAGCCACATGAGGACGCACAAGGACTGTTTCACTTTTCACTGTAACCTTTGTGGCCGTCGGTTCAAGGAACCCTGGTTTCTCAGGAACCATATGAGGTTCCATAAGGCTAAGGCCCAGCAGAACCTGGACGGTCCAGTTATTATCAATGAAGTCATCCAAGACCAAGTCCCAGCACCCATAATCACGCCTTACAAAATGTGCTTTACCTGTGGCTTCTTTTTCCCCGATAAAGACCGTTTGGTGGAACACAGCAAAGTACATAGTAAAGAATTAGAGGCTGATGAAGACCGAGAGAAGGATAGACAGGGAGATCCCCTCAGTCAACAAGGTTTTTTACAGGCCCTCAACCTTCGCCCCCTCTCTGAGGAAAGTAGTATGACACCAGAGAGACCCTCCAGGTGGATTGCCCAACTAGACCCTTTCAACACCTACCAGGCCTGGCAGCTTGCCACCAAGGGAAAGATAGCAGTTGGTCCAAGTGTGGCTAAAGACGTAGGCCTAATCCAAGACCACAGCTCTGACAACGAGGACTCTGGCTCAGATAAAGAACTGACAAACATCTGGTCAGAAGGCCAAGAAGGTGACAACAAGGGTGTTAAAGACGACTTGGGTAGAGAGCTGAGATCCAGACAGACTGCAGGAGAGACCCCATCACCAGAGCCTGATCAGAAGTCAAGTCGAAATGACAAGCCTACGCACTGTGAGGACTGTGGGAGGACGTTCAGGACGTACCACCAGCTTGTTCTCCACTCCAGGGTGCACAAGAGGGAGAGGGGTGAGGGGGAGAGCCCCACCGCCTTCATTGATGGCAAGCTCTCCAGAGCAGGGTCCCCCAGAGAGGAGGGGTCTGAAGACGGGTCAGAGGACGGAGCACCGGGAGACGCCTTCTATTCGGGTAAATACAGCAACTTAATGTTTAAGAAACATTTGTTTTCTATTGAGCAAAGGTGGATTTAATTACAGTTTTTCATAGTTGTTAACACCCGTTTGCTGAAACTACAAAAACATAAAACAGTTAGCCAATTTCCCCAAACCCCACAGACATATTGCAAAATGAAACACAGCAATCAAAATAATGTACTCCCTGCTCAAAATGAAACTCTGCATACAAATGACACACACATCAAATTAATCTAATTTAGTCACAACCAAGATCACACTTTGACATATACAAAACACTATCAGAACCTATTTCAGTGTAAAGACTAAGATTTTGTTATACTGTATATTGTTTGTGTGTACTCAAACAAGAAAGGAACACAAATGCAGGATGCGGCCTATGGTTGATAAGCTCACTCTGATGTTATGGAAAATGGCAGGGTTTTCAATGATCTGTTGTTGGTTTTCCCACAGTCTTATGGCATTATTTTCAACTACCATTTGCACAATGGCAGCCTCCTGTTCGTCTGTAAATAGACGCGTTCTACCACCACGTGGTGGTCATCTTTCAGTTGTACAAAAACCTCTACCCCCCCACCTCTACCCCCACCCCCACATTGTGAGTTGTGTTTTGCCAAAGGTTTGTTATAGAATTGTAATCTGAGTGTAAAGCAAAATGTACAGATTTGGTGTATGGTTCTGCTAAATGAGTTACAGGTTTGGGTCATTGTGCCTCATGGGCCAGTTTTAGTGTGTAAACAATTGGGAAAAACTGTAAATGGCTGGTCATTTATAGATTATGCAAATCCACTTGCTTCACACAAGTTTTTGTATGTAGACTATTTGATTTCTTCACATGACCAATCTCCTGTTTTTTCTACAGTTAAAAATGAAGATGGATTTGATCGAATGAAGGTGAAACATCTTGTGTCCTCCAGGGAATGTAGTTACTGTGGCAAGACATTCCGTTCCAGCTATTACCTCAACATTCACCTCAGGACGCATACAGGTAAACCTTATGTAATGCTGGGAAGCCTGGATATTGATTACTGCATTGTTGGGTTTAGAGCTTGCAAAAAAGGCATTTCCCTGTACTTGTGCAAGTGACATTGAAACTTGAAATAGGCTGCACAATTGGGAAATGTGAGTTGAGATTTATAGCTGATATTTGGCTCTAAGGTTTAACATGAAGTTGGATGGGCGTACTCTGTGTGCTAGAGGTGTAACTGTACTGAACCGTTCGGTACTTGGACCTCTGTTTGGTCCGCACTGTGAACCCAAATGAATACATACTTTTTTAAATGAACACTAGGCTTATAGGCTATTCCTACGCTGCGTTGTATGCCTCTTGAGTAAATCACGTTGTAATAAAAATGATAATCTTAATTGCAGCATTTCAGACTGTCCTTTTGTGAGGCGCAGCCGGGAACTAGTTCTGTATAATGGTGAGTGGTGGGGTCAATAAACCAGGAGGATTCTCCATCATAGTTTAAATCTCCAGTTTGGGAAAATGTTGCCTTCCCAGTAGATTACAATGGCGATGGACAGAGAAGAGAGTATGTCGCCACTGCTCAATGAGAGTAGTCTATGCAGCTGCCAACACCTCAAACATGTTGACACATTTACGCCGACATTCCCCCAGTATTTCTACCACCGGAGCAAGACTGAAACGCAAAGAAACAACACAACTTGTTTTTTATTGTATGGGACACTTTTAAATGTTCCTTCAGAGGCCATGCAATTCAGTACTCATCTCTAAAACAAAAGCCATTTAGGTCAAGAGTCCATATTAACAAAGGAAATAGAGGGACTAACAGTACAGATAGCAATAAAAACTATACATTTACATTTTTACATTTTAGTCATTTAGCAGACGCTCTTATCCAGAGCGACTTAGTTAGTGAATACATTTTTTTTTTTTTTTTTTTATACTGCCCCCCCCGTGGGAATCAAACCCACAACCCTGGCGTTGCAAACGCCATGCTCTATCAACTGAGCAACATCCCTGCCGGCCATTCCCTCCCCTACCCTGGACGACGCTGGGCCAATTGTGCGCCGCCCATGAGTCTCCCGGTCGCGGCCGGCTGCGACAGAGCCTGGATTCGAACCAGGATCTCTAGTGGCACAGTTAGCCTTAGACCACTGCGCCACTCTATACCATAGAGGCACACAATAAGTTAGAGGAAAAACTAAAAGAAATGGAGGAACTTATTCAAGAAAGATCAAGTGTAATATATTATAAAAATAAAGCGAACTGGATGAAATATGGGGAAGAATGCACCAAATTATTTTTTAATCTTCAACACAGAAACACTACCAAAAATAATTTGCTGAAACTTGTTACAAATGGAGTCACCCATGATTCACCAAACTATATTTTGAACGAGGAAGTAAAGTACTTTAAGCACATGTTTTTTTTTGTCTCCTCCATCTCCACTAACCGATGCTAATTGTATGGATTTTTCTATTAATAATGTAAAATTAACAGCTGTACAGAAAGACTCATGTGAAGGCCAAATCTTGATGCAATTAAAGCCTTTAAGTTCGAGAACTCCAGGGCTGGATGGCATACCAGTGGAGGTGTACCAAACCTTTTTTGATGTACTCAGAGGACCGTTATTAGCATGTTTAATACCACTCCTATATAAATGGTAGATTATCAGACACTCAACAAGAAGGTCTGATTTCATTATTACTGAAACAGGATCCAAGTGGTAAATATAAAGATCCAGTCCATTAAAAAAATTGGAGGCAAATTCTAGCAAAGTGCTTAGCGCATAGAATTAAAAAGGTATTGTCGGATATTATTCATCCTAATCAGACAGGTTTTTTACATGGACGATACATTGGCGATAATATAAGACAAGTACTGGAAACAATAGAACACTATGAAAAATCTGGGAAACCAGGCCTGGTATTCATAGCTGACTTTGAAAAGGCTTTTGATAAAGTACTACTATTTTGGAGAATCTCTTTGTTATGTGAATTATTTAACAAACTATTTCAGTGTCTCTGTGCGTCTCCCAGAAGGTTGTAAGTCTTTTGGGATTTAAGTAACGGACAGAGTCCCGGTCTGCATAGTCAGAGATTTATTCATTGAGAATTCTAAAACAAAATGGTCATACAATATTTTTATATGCACACGTCAGATGAAAAAATCCCTCCCCTCTGTAGGCAGGCTGTAGTTTTCCACTTTATAATTGCTCTCCTGACCATCAGTTCACACACACACACCTCTCACACGTTTCTCTCCTCCCAAAATTCCTCAGTTATGTTGGTTTCTCAGTTGCCTGGAGACAGTTCTCCTTGTCCTTTGTTGTCTGGTCTAACTCTTACTCACATTGCTAAATTGTAGCTCATAGTCTTTACTGGTCCTACACTCTCACATTCTAACACATTTCACACAGTTTCAGGGTGTAATAATTAATCTATCACTCTTATAAAATGGGTTAAAGTGATGTATAGTAACCCTAGGTGTAAAATAGTAAATAATGGCTACTTCTCAGAAAGTTTTAAACTGTCAAGAGTCAATCAAGGTTGTCCACTATCGGCATATCTATTTATTATGACCATCGAGATGTTAGCTGTTATAATCAGATCCAACAATAATATCAAGGGGTTAGAAATCCAGGGCTTAAAAACAAAGGTGTCATTGTATGCTGATGATTCATGTTTTCTTTTAAATCCACAATTTGGATCGCTCCACAGCCTCATAGAGGATATAGATACTTTTTCTAACCTCTCTGGATTACAACCAAATTATGATAAGTATTGCGTATTGGATCACTAAGAAATACAACTTCTACATTACCGTGTAGTTTACCAATAAAATGGTCTGACAGTGATGTGGACATACACGGTATACATATCCCGAAAGAAAGAAATGATCTCACTCCAGTACATTTTTATAGAAGGTTAGCAAAAATAGATAAGACCTTGCTACCATGGAACGGAAAATACCTGTCTTACCTAGAAAAATCACCCTGATTTAACTCTTTAGTCATATCCCAGTTTACCTATTTGCTTATGGTCTGGCCTACACATAGCGACCTGTTTAAAAAATATATATATATATATATATTTTTTTTTTTATATGAGCAAAACATATTCCGTTTTATTTGGAATGGCATGCCAGACAAAATTAAAAGGACCTATCTATATAATTAATATGAATTCGGAGGGCAGAGATGATTAAATATTAAAGCATTAGACCTCTCACTAAAGGCGTCAGTCATACAAAAGTTATATTTAAATCCGAACTGGTTCTCTAGAAAATTAGTAAGAATGTCTCACCCCATGTTCAAGAATGGTTATTTGAAAAGGAAATAATCTCCCAAATATCGCTATTTTTAAAACAAGCCATAGAAAGTTGGTTGCAATTTCAGTTTAATCCACCAGAAAAGACAGAACAAATAATACAACAAATATTGTGGGTAAACTCAAATATACTAATTGATAAAAAAACATTATTTTTTCGATAAAATTAAAAAAAAAAGGTATAGTCTTTGTAAATTATAAAATATATGGAAATGTCTGCTCTACCCACAATTACAACCAACTAATTGCAGCATTACCGCAAAAATGGAAGAGGCAAGTGGAAAGGGAAAAAAGTAAGGAACTTGTCTGTCGGCCCTGCATTAAAGACCAAAATTGGTTAAAGAAAATTGTGATAAATAAAAAATTATACTAGTTTAAGAGCCAAAAAATTGACAGCTGTGCCATATAGATGGCAAAATAGTTGAAGAGATTTCCAATGTACCGATTCCATGGCACATGGTTGATGAACTGATATGCAAAATGACACCGGATTCAAAACGTAGAATCTTTCAAAACATTTATTATAAATTTATTATAAAAAAAATTATTATAAAAAAATTATTGCAACCAATAGAATGTTATATTTATTACATACAGTACCAGTCAAAGGTTTGGACACACCTACTCATTCCATAAAAAAAAAAAACTATTTTCTACATTGTAGAATAATAGTGAAGACATCAAAACTATGAAATAACACATGGAATCATGTAGTACCCAAAAAAGTGTTCAAAACATCAAAATACATTTTATATTTAAGATTCTTCAAATAGCCACACTTTGCCTTGATGACTGCTTTGCACACTCCATATACAGTGAGGGGAAAAAAGTATTTGATCCCCTGCTGATTTTGTACGTTTGCCCACTGACAAAGAAATGATCAGTCTATAATTTTAATGGTAGGTTTATTTGAACAGTGAGAGACAGAATAACAACAAAAAAATCCAGAAAAACGCATTTAAAAAATGTTATAAATTGATTTGCATTTTAATGAGGGAAATAAGTATTTGACCCCCTCTCAATCAGAAAGATTTCTGGCTTCCAGGTGTCTTTTATACAGGTAACAAGCTGAGATTAGGAGCACACTCTTAAAGGGAGTGCTCCTAATCTCATCTTGTTATCTGTATAAAAGACACCTGTCCACAGAAGCAATCAATCAATCAGATTCCAAACTCTCCACCATGGCCAAGACCAAAGAGCTCTCCAAGGATGTCAGGGACAAGATTGTAGACCTACACAAGGCTGGAATGGGCTACAAGACCCATCGCCAAGCAGCTTGGTGAGAAGGTAACAACAGTTGGTGCGATTATTCGCAAATGGAAGAAACACAAAATAACTGTCAATATCCCTCGGCCTGGGGCTCCATGCAAGATCTCACCTCGTGGAGTTGCAATGATCATGAGAACGGTGAGGAATCAGCCCAGAACTACACGGGAGGATCTTGTCATTTACATTTTACATTTTAGTCATTTAGCAGACGCTCTTATCCAGAGCGACTTACAGTTAGCACATACATTATTTTATCGAACCCACAACCCTGGCGTTGCAAACGCCATGCTCTACCAACTGAGCTACATCCCTGCCGGCCATTCCCTCCCCTACGCTGGACGACGCTGGGTCAATTGTGCGCCGCCCCATGGGTCTCCCGGTCGGCTACGACAGATCATTGTCAATGATCGCAAGGCAGCTGGGACCATAGTCAATTGGTAACACACTACGCCGTGAAGGACTGAAATCCTGCAGTGCCCGCAAGGTCCCCCTGCTCAAGAAAGCACAAATACAGGGCCGTCTGAAGTTTGCCAATGAACATCTGAATGATTCAGAGGAGAACTGGGTGAAAGTGTTGTGGTCAGATGAGACCAAAATCGAGCTCTTTGGCATCAACTCAACTCGCCGTGTTTGGAGGAGGAGGAATGCTGCCTATGACCCCAAGAACACCATCCCCACCATCAAACATGGAGGTGGAAACATTATGCTTTGGGGGTGTTTTTCTGCTAAGGGGACAGGACAACTTCACAGCATCAAAGGGACGATGGACGGGGCCATGTACCGTCAAATCTTGGGTGAGAACCTCCTTCCCTCAGCCAGTGCATTGAAAATGGGTTGTGGATGGGTATTCCAGGATGACAATGACCCAAAACACACATCCAAGGCAACAAAGGAGTGGCTCGAGAAGAAGCACATTAAGGTCCTGGAGTGGCCTAGCCAGTCTCCAGACCTTATTCCCATAGAAAATATGTGGAGGGAGCTGAAGGTTCGAGTTGCCAAACGTCAGCCTCAACCTTAATGACTTGGAGAAGATCTGCAAAGAGGAGTGGAAAAAAATCCCTCCTGAGATGTGTGCAAACCTGGTGGCCAACTACAAGAAACGTCTGGCCTCTGTGATTGCCAACAAGGGTTTTGCCACTAAGTACTAAGTAATGTTTTGCAGAGTGGTCAAATACTTATTTCCGTCATTGAAATGCAAATCAATTTATAACATTTTTGACATGCGTTTTTCTGGATTTTGTTGTTGTTATTCTGTCTCTCACTGTTCAAATAAACCTACCATTAAAATTATAGACTAATCATGTCTTTGTCAGTGGGCAAACGTACAAAATCAGCAGGGGATCAAATACTTTTTTCCCTCACTGTACATATATATTTATATTTACAAAATGATATTTATTGGAAATGATGCAGACAATTACATTGATGGAAGCTACAATCTATCTGCAATATTAAAACCCCACTACTTCGTCTCCCCGCTGCATTCAAATAGCCCTTCGTAGCTGATTCTGACAGGGCCAAATAGGTATGTTTTTAGACACAGATATGCGCCCATTCTCGGTGGTTGAGAAGAATAGGGGGTTTTAGCACCTCGTGAAAGTGCTCGAGCCACATTTCAAACTTTGCATTCTCACACCCATTTCAGCAAATAGGTAGTACCTGCTCGATATAAGCAAGCTAAAGCTGAAGTTGTCAATGAATTGTCCAATGCAACCAGCATTGCGCTTACTACAAATGGATTGACCTCCAGGGCTACAGAGAGTTACTAAACAGTGACAGCCCATCACATTACTCTGGAGTGGGAAATGAGAAGTACTGTGCTACAGACACGCCACCTTTATGAGAGTCACACAAGTGCATATTTTCTCTTTGTAAGAAAACATAGCAGAAGGCCTATACAATTTCTGAGCCATGTTTACATAATGATTTCATACACATGTTGCACTTTATTTTAGTGTTGTTGATGTGTAATCATTTAAGAAAATACAAAGTGAAAATGTTGGGTGTTCCTGATTGTGCTCTCATCATGCATTACATTATTAAATATGGAATCAGGAATACCATCACGTATTTTGTTAAATAAACAAAATAACTAACTACAGTAACTGTTGGCATTTAATTTTCCCGTTAACCGAACCGTGAACGCAATACGTACCGAGCCGTGACCCCCAAAACCGCAATCCATACGGAACCGTTACGCACCTGTGTTCTGTATGTAATGATTTCAGTATTTAATCAATCTGAAGACCATATTTACAGTTTGGTCCATATTATGCTAATGTGTTTCTATTTTTGTCTTTCAGGTGAAAAACCATACAAATGTATATACTGTGACTATGCTGCAGCCCAGAAAACCTCACTGAGATATCACTTGGATAGACGTCACAAGGACAAACCTTACACTGACATCCCCAATAAGCCTGTGATATCAGTGCCATCTCCCAGTGAGAAAGAATTAACCAGAAACAGAGAAGACAAAAGGGTCCCCAACCGATCCAAACTATGGCCAACTCCCAATGTCAGGCCTGCAACCAAACCTTGTGCCAATGAGAAACCAGAGGATAGATTTAATAGCATCGGTGTCAAGCTTGCCAGCCCACTTGCTCAAGTGAATGCTGAGTATGGGAAATTGATTTCTACAGCTGTTTACTCCTCTTCTGCAGATGATGCACACATAAAACACCTCGTACCTGTTAACCTGAAGATGGAAGGAAACGAGACAAAACGCCTCGTACCTGTTAACCTGAAGATGGAAGGAAACGAGACAAAACGCCTCGTACCTGTTAACCTGAAGATGGAAGGAAACGAGACAAAACGCCTCGTACCTGTTAACCTGAAGATGGAAGGAAACGAGACAAAACGCCTCGTACCCGTTAACCTGAAGATGGAAGGAAACGAGACAAAGCGCCTCGTACCCGTTAACCTGAAGATGGAAGGAAACGAGACAAAACGCCTCGTACCCGTTAACCTGAAGATGGAAGGAAACGAGACAAAACGCCTCGTACCTGTTAACCTGAAGATGGAAGGAAAGGAAATAAAAGACGAGGGCTTCGACGCCCCATTAAATTTGTCCTTAAAAGTGTCACTTTCCAGCTCTGCCTCCGTAATACCAAGGAATATGTTGATTTCCAGTGTCTGTTCGTCCTGTGCCTTCAGCACTCTGTACCCAGAGGTCCTGCTCATGCACAAGAAGCTGCTTCACAAGGAGAAGTCCGACACAAACAAGAAGAACAGAAGTGTAAAACTGAAGCGTTACACTGGCTGCCCCCCTGCCCTCGAGGGCAAAGATGTCATCCCCCTGCCTCCTGTAGACCGGAGACACCCTCGCCGGACCAAATCACCAACCCCCCAGCCTCCTGGAAAACCTACAGGAAAGACTCACCCCTCCAACCCTCCTCATGGGCTTAAACGCTCTCTCACCAATGAACCCCGTAAGGAGATGGGAGCCCCGGGACCGGATAATCAGCGGTACAGGATGATGACGCCACCTAGCACCAGCCAGGGCCATTCCAGGTTTACAGAGCCAGCAGAACAATCCAACACCAACGGTAGAAAAGATGGCAAACCTGTAGTGGAGAGACCAAGGCAGAGCCCATCGGACAGCAGAGTGGCAAGCGGCTTAAGAAGTGGCCCAGTGAGGAACGGTAGCGGTGTAATCTGGCCCTCAGATGCTGCCAGGCTGTGCCTCTCCAGCCGGTTCGGTAGTCTGCCCCCGATCGACTTTGGTGGTGAACCCTCCAGTAAGAGACAGAGATACTCTGGGCTCCCCGGAAGGGAAACGGACACTATTGATACTGGCTTTAGGATGGAGGACAGGTACAACAGACTGCTGCCCTCAGGAAGAAATGGAGCCTCTCCCTCTAACAGGCCACAGGCCTATGCCCCAGTCAAAGCGTCCAACCCTCCAGCCTCTGCAAGCAGCAGCAGTATGGAGACTGACTGGAATATGATCAACATCCTCCGCTCCTACACCCCCAGTGACCTGGCCTCCCTCTACCATCCTGCTGTGGCTAACCCCAGTCATGGAGTGCTGACCAACACAAGAGGTATGAACTAAAAGCTTTATCTTATATATTTTTCGATACATTTGAAATTCATTCATCCCATTTTCATGTTAGTGTAGTTGCAAATGTCATGGGGTTCCATATTAGAGTTGGACAGCTATATCATATTGCCATTTATTACGGTTTGTATCAAACTATTACTTTGGGGTTACTCCTAAGATTGTCCTTCTCCTCTTCCTAGGCAGTAGGCCATTACTCTACCCAGCTAGTATGCTACAGAGGAGAGCCTATTCCAGCCCCATCAATAATGAACGCAGTGGACCCACTGACGAAAGTACTTAACTGTTCTAATGGTAGGCTATTGTTCTGGTTGACTTCACCGGCCATGTTGTAAGTAACTTTGGCTGTCTTAAGTTTTGTGTTGAGATAAATAGGATACATTTTATCGCCTTCTGTAGGTTTGAAATACACTGAGAAGTTCATGGTACAACCATCTTCTTTTGAAAGCTTACCTGGAGGAAAGGCCTGACCCATAGATGACCTACCCCCACTGATCTAAACACATCTATCTAATACAACAGAGTTTAGGTTGTATGCATTGACCAATGACTTTGAATATCATATTGGTATGGTTGCACTAGATAAAACATGTATAAAGGAGAAAAGTGTTAAGAGGATAAGTTACCTTTTGTTTGTTAATATGCTGCTCTGTCTGATATGACGTACAGTCAGCAATCAAAGGACCATGTTTTTGTCAAAGCACTGATGTTGGATAGGGTTTTATCTGACATAAAGCTTGACGTCTTAGTTTACAAAACAAAAGCTGTATGTTGACGTATCCTGCCTCAAACTCAGTTTATAGACTGTTGACGCTAATAGTAGGCAGTTATTTTTGTGATGATATGAAGCTGCTGTAGCTATCATGTCTACTATTGAGCCAGTGCATTTTGGAGAGTTGGGAGCAAATGTCTGATGTGCCTATAAGTAGTTATTCACTGGATAAACATTATGATCAGAGCCTGAAGCCAGGGATTCTTGCTACTGGGAATTCTGTGAAATGTACATAGAAAAGGCTGCTGGTTCTGTTCTGCCTATAGATTCCTCACAACCGACTATGCTGTAACAGTGGTAAAACATGGACCAAATATCAAGAGAATATCTGAGGGATTCAACTTTTTGTGTGCAAAAATACTGTTCAGATGTTCTTTTTTTAGACCGACTGTTCTTCCATACAGTATTCAGGACTCTGTTCATGTTATGCAGGATCTTAAGATGGTTATTAAGTATTTTGCCTCAGGTTGGGTTGTGTTAACTTGTCTGCCTGCTTTGTCACTGGTTTTTCTGCAGCTGTGGTCTACTACTTGTTGATTCTGTATATAAGTCAGGGAGCGCAGAGTGAAAGCCTTACTGCAGGAATAGCTCAACATTGTACACTGAAGAAAAAATGGTCTCAGGTTTCAGAACTCAATTTGATTTGAGCTCTATCATTCTACTTAATTTATGCATGAACTGTTACAAATTAATGCACATGATGTGGGAAGCGTTCTGATATTTTCAAGTAATTTGGGTACATCAGACTTCTGTTATTTCATATTTTTGCTGTTATAATTTTTTGGGTGTTTTATTTATTTCTGTTAATGTTTTGTTTTCTACATGTGTGAGCAATGTAAAAAGTGAAATATTGTTTAAGAGTTGTATGACCATTACCATATAATAAAGAGTGAATGACATTTGGTGCATAGACGAGTAGTGTTATAATATTTGCTTGTGCTGTTTGAGAATTTCTACAGTTATCTTTCCAAGTGTTACTATAGGCCTACCACCTTCCTGTTTATGTAACCTTGAAACAACTTTTGAAACTTTTTTTCGTCACTGGAAATTGACAATTTCAGATTTCTCCTTTCCTGCTGTCATAAGCGTGGGGTTATTAAGTTACCATTTAAATCTAAGTTTGGTTTATGTATTAGCCTAGGTAATTCTTGTGACTGATACTGGAGTTAAAATTACTGCGATTTGAGATGCAATGCTATGTCTGCCTATGCTGCTCTACTGTACTTTATACAATATGCTTTCCCCAAGTGTGGTTTACATTAGCCTAATAAATGATAGCCATGTCAATACATGCATTAGTTTTCTTTCTTCACTTTTCTATGTTGCGATCTCATGGTTTGGTCTTTTGACTTAGATCAAGTGTAATTGTTGTTGTCGTGAGTAGAGGGACCCAATTCACGCTCAGACCTTCAGTCTGCAGAAATGAAACATTTTGGTTAAATGTCACTGCAAATGATGTACAAATAATTTGACATTCTTGAAAAAGTATATTATTTTTGTAGTTGTTTACATGAGCATAGTGTTTTAATTTGTCATTAATTTTGCACAATAAATTGTGTACAGTTGAGAAATTTCTATATCTTCTGTTACATCTTGGTCCATGTACAGTTAACTGCCAAAATAATGGCAACACTTGAGTAAACAAGGGATACAAAGTATATTGAAAGAGCGTGCTTCCACACAGGTGTTGCTTCTGAGTTAAGTATGCAATTAACATACCATGATTAGTGTTATTTTTGCTACCATGCCTGTGCCCTCATAGGATGAAAATGCCCCCATCCACAGGGCAAGAGTGATCACTGAATGGTTTGATGTAATGAGCATAACTATGTAAACCATATGCCATGGCCGTCTGTCAGTCACCAGATCTCAACCCAATTGAACACCTATAGGAGAGGAGCGACGCCTGAGACAGCGTTTTCCACCACCATCAACAAAATACCAAATTATGGAATGGTGTCGCATCCCGACAATAGAGTTGTAGACGCTTGTAGAATCTATTCCAAAGATGCATTGAAGCTGTTCTAGCTCGTGCTGGCCCAATGCCCTATTAAGAAATGTTATGTTGGTGTTTCCTTTATTTTGGCAGTTACCTGTACTTTGGTTCGTTCATTGTCTGGAAAATGTCTTAACTCCAAGTAAACACCAGAGGGCAGTGTATACAAACTCAAGAGTGCAGCAACACGGTGGTATGTGGCGTTTCTGTGCTGTGGGGATGCTGTACAGTGCCAAATAACTTGTTTTAAAAAAAATTTGAATAACAGAAAAGTGGTGCGTGCATATGTATGAAGCCCCTAAATAAGATCTGGTGCAACCAATTACCTTCAGAAGTCACATAATTAAAGTCCAACTGTGTGCAATCTAAGTGTCACATGATCTCAGTATATATACACCTGTTATGAAAGACCCCAGAGTCTGCAACACCACTAAGCAAGCGGCACCATGAAGACCAAGGAGCTCTCAGGTCAGGGACAAAGTTGTGGAGAAGTACAGATCAGGGTTGGGTTGTAAAAAAATATCAGAAACTTTGAACATCCCACGGAGCACCATTCAATTCATTATTAAAAAATGGAAATAATAAGATCCCTAAGATCCTGCATAACATATGGAAGAAGGTGCTCTGGTCAGATGAGACTAAAATTGAGATTTTTGGCCATCAAGGAAAACGCTATGTCTGGTGCAAACCCAACACCTCTCATCACCCGGAGAACACCATCCCCACAGTGAAGCATGGTGGTGGCAGCCTCATGCTGTGGGGATGTTTTTCATCGGCAGGGACTGGGAAACTGGACAGAATTGAAGGAATGATGGATGGCGCTAAATGCAGGGAAATTCTTGAGGGAAACCTGTTTCAGTCTTCCAGAGATTTGAGACTGGGACAGAGGTTCACCTTCTAGCAGGACAATGACCCTAAGCATACTGCTAAAGCAACACTTGAGTGGTTTAAGGGGAAACATTTAAATGTCTTGGAATGGCCTAGTCAAGCCCTCAATCCAATTGAGAATCTGTGGTATGACTTAAAGATTGCTGTACACCAGCGGAACCCATCCAACTTGAAGGAGCTGGAGCAGTTTTGCCTTGAAGAATGGGCAAAAATGTGCCAAGCTTATGGAGACATACCCCAAGAGACTTGCAGCTGTAATTGCTGCAAAAGGTGGGTCTACAAAGTATTGACTTTGGGGGGTTGAATAGTTATGCATGCTCAAGTGTTCTGTTTTTTTTGTCTTATTTCTTGTTTGTATCACAATAAAAAATATTTTGCATCTTCAAAGTGGTAGGCATGTTGTGTAAATCAAATGATACAAACCCCCAAAAAATCTATTTTAATTCCAGGTTGTAAGGCAACAAAATAGGAAAAATGACAAGGGGGGTGAATAATTTACGCAAGCCACTGTACATTCTCATCTATGTTGTCAGGTTTGTATTGTTGATATTGATCATATAATTTCACAAGTATTTGTGTTGATGCAGGGTGGCATGTTTAGGGTAATAAAAGGGACATGAAGTATTTTGGCCATCAGTAAATGTAAACAGTGTCCACAATTGTTTAGATTGGTGGTGTATTCCTATGGTAAGATGGTTGTACATAGTATACAGTCAATGGGTTGTGTCCTTCAGATTGAGAAACCATATAATAGCACACTATTTTTGACTGTCCCTGGCCTAGCATCAGAATCCTGAGAGAAAAGGAAGAGAGACTGACAAAGCGTATCAAAATTGTGCATTCTGTCAACACTAAATTACAAGGGCCAGTCTCCAGCACATTGAACACTTTAAACTTAGATTTTTTTCTTCTTCTTTTTGAGTACACATCTGTTTGCTGTCTGTTCCCCAGGGCCAGTGCTGTGTAATCTATTGCATTAGCTCACATTAGTGCATAATATCGCCCATGGGCCTTGGTAATCATAAACGCAAAATGAGCATTTCATTAAGCATCACCCTCAGATCCCCCACACTGTGGAGAACCAAGTGCAGAGAGAGGAAGAGGACGGAAGCAGACTTCATCTGATGACACGCTTCCTGTTGTTCCGAATCCTCCAACTCCACGCTGATGCTCTTGTAAAGATGTTTTAATTCGCTCAAGGGTTTCATGTAAAAAAATGTCTCTTTGCGGCCATTATATTGTTTCCGCATAGTTCAAGGGAGTTCAAGAAGCATGTTAATTTTGTTGATTTAAAATAATATATAATGTATGTATATATATTTTTTAACATAGACGGTTACACAGTTAACATTCAACAAAACTACCACATCACTTTGTATGAGCTTGTTTAGGTAGCCAGAAAGCAGGTGACCCTCCTGACCTTTGGACATATCATCGGATCAGTGTCATTCAATTTATGACATTGCTACATCGTTTTGATCTCTAAAAGCCATTGCCTGTTCTATGATGGATTTTAGATATACCCCTTTTCCTAACAAGGTCTGATAACTGTGAGACTTGAGACTACTCTGTGCCAGGGCTAGTTTCCCTGAGATTATTAGACCAATATCCACTGGGGCTGTCATTC